TCAAGAGTACCATACATTTCAATGTTGCCTCCAAAATTGTGAAGCATGCACCTGAAATTCATCTAACTTCAGTAAAAGCTCATAAAATTACGACTCTAGGACACCAGAATAACTGAGACAAAGATATACCAGATATAAGGAGTTGCATAAAATTGGGCAGACGTGTTCCATATCGGTTTGACATCAGCAAATAGATCAAGAACTATCATTTTGCCAAAGGGAACTGAATGTAAGAGCGCCTGCAGAAAGCAAGAGAGGCTGTGAATATTGAATAAGAAAAGCCAATTCTAGTATAATGTAATACAATTCATCAGCATTCATCATAAACACTAAATTGGAAGTTTACTTTCATCTGGGGCGGCTTCCAGAATTTTGAGTCTGAACTAAAAAGCCAACCCTGCACAAAGATGGGTCTCAAGTAAGACAGCATTAAGAAGATCATGGCATGAAAGGGAGAATTTCCCAAAGTACGAATGTCACTAAGAATAAAATGGAAGGGAGGGCATACTTGCATCAACCATACAGCATTCTTGTTTCCTTTGGACATAGCTTTGTACACTGCAGATCCTAGTGAAGATATATATTCAGGTTCATTTGTGGGAGGAGTATTCTCATTAAATGTATCACTGCATTAACACAAGTGGTGAAGAGCTAAGCCAGTTAAGATTAATACCAACACCATTCCATAAAAATAGAGTCGGCCTTTTTTGGAATCATACATCAGAAGATGATGTTAACACCAATACTGACCTGGGACCAAATAAATAGAAAAAGTTGCATGAAGTAATTTACCTCTTACAGGTGTAAATTGAAGAGATTTACCAGTTATAAATGTTTGTAATATCTCCATACTCTGAGACAGTAACAAGGTACGATTTAAGGCATATATACGCTTAATTGTATCAATAAGACTGTCATCAGGTGTGATATTTGATTAGTATGTGTTTTCATAATCAATAAGACTTTGCTAAGATTATGAAAACAGAAATAGCTTCAGGGTACCTTCAATTTGTTGTTTAATAAAGGCCTCTCCAATGTCGATGAAGAGAGGATCAGAAGGATTCAGAAGGTAAGTGCAGCACCAGCGAGAATCTCCATCCACCGTGTTCCTGAGAAGAAATGAGACACAAACCGAAAGCGTAAAGTGATTGTTCATGTGAAGGCGAAACAGTAGAAAACTAGCGGAAGAAAGTTGAGGGGGGTGATTTGGGGAAGAAAAACGTACCAGTCATCAAGCCGAGCTATATTTGCCGCAGGATATATCTTTCTCAAAGCTGATGGAACATTGCCTGAGAATGATGGAAGTACTAGGAAAGAAGGAAGGGAAAAGAAACTCTAAGATGCTATGAGTATAATCGATTGAGTATCAGAGAACAGAAGTAAATGATTGTTCCTTGAACCTGGAGTCATGCCAAGCTCAAGCATCCGAGAAAGTAGCTGTTTCTGCAAAAGCAACTGATCACCTAACCAGTTTTCTGATAATGGACCACCCCACCTGTGATGTAGATGGGAGAATATGGTATATGTTAGTTCAAAGAATGAAAGATAAACCTAGCTCAGAAGGAGCGATGGCGATGGGAGCCACAAAATATCATAGATGAGGTAATTTACGCGTGAAGATTTCCCATGCGAGCCCAAGCAAGAAATGCTGGTCCACCAAAATAATCATCCAGATCCTCTTTGGTGATATTGAACCTCTAAACAAGATTGATATAGAACTTGGTTAGTATATACAAACTTATACCCAACAACATAAAATGCATTAGCCGAAGCCAACATTTATGATTCTTTTACTGCAATCTGACAAGAATAGGAATACAACTTTTACCTTGAAAACCTTTTGCCAAATAGCTTCTTGCCCAGTGAATGCTAAAGGCAAGTTAATTCCTTGCAATGCCATCCAGTCAATCTCTCTCTCCCATCTCTCCCATCCCCACCAAACATATGAATCTGGAAAAAAAAACAAGAAATCAGAAGCAGGAGCAAGAATGTGATGTGATGTGAGTGATCGATATAACACCATTGAATCCGAGAAGTGTATGTGTATGTCTCTTACAGCTAGATGTAACAACATTTTGGTAATAGTTCCAAGGGACAGGACGGCGAATCAAGATGCGTTTAGAATCTAGACGAGGTAGATGTCCAGGGTGTGGAACAGAGGCAATCTGGATACCACCAGTTTTGTCCCAAGAAACATGAGCATTACATTTGTACTTCAAATACCAGTGGAGCCCAGAAGCAATCTCAACTCCAGTTGTGCCTTTAATCCTGAAATGCAAGTTAGAAAGAAATGCAAAATTGGAAGAGAAGAATCTTCAAGTAAGTTTGATCCCTCATCAAGAAATCAGTTGGTGCTTACACAATTTCAGGTCCAATTCGTCTCGGGCCATCGTAGTTTTCAATTAGAAAGCAACTGCTGCCACCACAAACATCCTATTGAAAACAAAAAGAAAGAAAACAAATTAGCTAGCATAAATAGGGTCTAAGGGAAAGGAAAAAAGGAAGAACCTTTGAGATAATTGAGAAATCAAAGCTGTGAAAATGGGTGGGAATCAGTCTCTGCAATAAACCCTTTGCTGCTGATACTTGTACAGACGGAGTTGGTCGTAGGGAATCCAAATTTAGAAGCAGACGGTCGATAGTGGGATGTTGTTTTGAGAAAGACTGAGAGTGAAGAGAAAGAATCAACAAAACCAACATAAACAATTTGATGGGACGCATGCTGATGATGCTGTTCGTGACTAAGCGAAGGAAGTAAGCAAGGAAAGACAAGAGATTTGCAGATGGATAGCATCATAACCAAATATGATCCATCTCCTCAGAAAATGGGTCGATATTTTTTTTAATTATTTTCTTTTCATCATTTACATTTAACACCATACAAGTACAACTAACTTTTGCGATCAAAACAGTTTCCAGAAAAAATTCCCAAATTAACAGTTCTAAACCGGCTGTCCAAAGAAAAAAATAACCGGGTCTGTTTCTAGGTTTTTTTTTTTGTCACTTTCACTTACTTGATAGCAAAAAAACACCCCAAAGAAAAGAAAAAAAAAAAACATCAGAGTAAAGCCTGTGTTGTGTTAAACCCTAGTTATCAGTGTTTTTTTTTCTTCTTGCTTGGGTTTAGAACAGCTCCCTGGATCTGTAGCTGCAAAGTTGGAGTAAGTTGTAGCAATTCGACATGAAGAATCTGAAGCTTTTCTCGGAGGTTTCTCAGAACATCCAATTGGATTCGACCGAAGAAGTTGTACGGTTCGCAGCCTATGACATCGACCAGAGTCGCTTATTCTTCGCATCTTCTACTAATTTCGTTTACGCCCTTCACATCTCTTCCTTCCATGTAAGCAACCTTTTTTCTGTGAAATTTATTTTCTTTTTAGTTCATCCTGTTTTTGTTGATAAGGAAACGAGTGAGAAAAACGTTGGTAATTTGGTCTTAATATGGGTTTGTTTCCTTGATTTTGATTTCGCATTCAAGTGTCCTGTGGATGAACTTGCCAGTGAACATAAGGAGCTGGCGCCTTATGAAGAACTTTTTTTGTTAGCTATAAAAGAATTTACATGTTACTGAATAGGGTCTGTTTAAATCGAAAGTCTTTATCCTATGTTATGGTGTCTGTGTTGATTTCTTAAGTCTTGATGTGTCAGAATGGAAAAGCTTGTGCAAAGAGTGCTTTGCCTGTGGAGGTCTGCAGTATTGATTTGGAACCCAGTGATGAAATCACGGCCTTTGATTATCTGGCGGAGAAGGAGTCTTTATTGATTGGGACTTCTTGCGGGCTTCTTCTGGTGCATGAAGTGGAGAGCAATGTGACTGAGCTAGTTGGAAATATAGATGGAGGTGTCAAGTGTGTCTCGCCTAGTCCGACTGGAGATCTGCTTGGATTAGTTTCCGGTTTTGGGCAGTTGCTTGTAATGACTTATGATTGGGTTTTGATGTACGAGAAGGCGCTTGCAGAGGTTCCTGAAGGTGTTTACGTACGTAAGGACCCCTTACCTTTTTGTCATCTAAATCCTCTCTTCTTCATTCTTCTTGTCTTCTTGACCGCATTAGGTGGTATTAGCTGATGATTTTCCTCAACACCTTCTCTTCGTTTGCTAACCATGTGAATTAAAATACTGTTTTTAGGTGAAGCAGATGATTTGTCTGTAAATTGTGGGGGAATTTCCATTTCCTGGAGAGGCGATGGAAAGTATTTTGCAACTATGGGTGAGGTTTATGAATCTGGTTGTATGCATAAGAAGATTAAGATATGGGAAAGTGATTCCGGTGCTTTGCAGTCTTCTTCAGAAACAAAAGATTTCGTGAAGGGGATTCTTGAATGGATGCCTAGTGGGGCGAAGATCGCAGCTGTATATAAGAGGAAGTCAGATGATGACTGTCCGTCTATTGCGTTCTTCGAAAGGAATGGACTTGAGAGGAGCTCATTTAGAATTGGTGGACCAGGAGATGCTAAGGTATCATTTGAAACTCTGAAGTGGAATTCTGCATCAGATCTTCTTGCAGGGGTTGTTAGTTGCAACACACATGATGCCATAAAGGTGTGGTTCTTCAGCAACAACCACTGGTACCTGAAACACGAGATTAGGTATCCAAGGGAAGCTGGGGTGAAGGTCATGTGGGATCCAACAAAGCCATTGCAGTTAGTATGTTGGACTCTGGCAGGGCAGGTTACTGTTTGCAATTTTATGTGGATAACGGCGGTCATGGAGGACTCAACAACCTTTGTTGTAGATGACTCCAAGATACTCGTGACACCACTATCTTTGTCCTTGATGCCACCTCCTATGTATTTGTTCAGCCTTAGTTTTTCTTCCGCTGTCAGAGATATAGCATATTACTCAAAGAACTCTAAGAATTGTCTGGCTGTGTTCTTGTCAGATGGAAATTTGGCTTTTGTTGAGTTTCCTGCACCTAATACTTGGGAAGATCTCGAAGGCAGAGACTTCAATGTGGAAGTTTCAGACTGTAAAACAGCACTGGGCTCTCTTGTACATCTTCTGTGGTTAGATGTCCATTCACTTCTGTGTGTCTCTTCTTATGGTTCTAGCCAGAACAAGTGTCTCTCTTCAGGTTCGTCTGAGACAGAGCTTCATGGTTCTTATTTACAAGAAGTTAAAGTTGTCTGTTATGAGGATCATAATCTTAATCAAGTGACATGCTCTGGCTTTGAGGCAAGCGTTACCTGCCAGACACTTCTCGAGTCACCGGCCATGGCTCTTGCGTGGAATCCTATTATGCGTGATTCAGCCTTTGTAGAGTTTGAGGGTGGCAAAGTACTTGGCTATGAATCTAGGTCGGGCATTATGGAAGCTCGTATTAGTGATGATAGTGTATGTTTTCCATTGACTTGCCCTTGGGTGAGAGTTGCGCAGGTTGATTCTGATGGGGTGCTCAAACCCTTGATATGTGGGCTTGATGATATGGGTAGACTGTACATCAACGGGAAGAGCCTATGTAATAACTGCAGCAGTTTCTCATTTTATTCGGAGTTGGCCAATGAGGTGGTTACCCATCTGATTATTTTGACTAAGCAGGATTTTCTCTTTATTGTCGATACCAAGGATGTGCTGCAGGGAGACGTGGCACTTGGAAATGTGTACTTTGTTATTGATGGTAGAAAGCGAGACGAGGAAAATATGAGCTATGTAAATATTTGGGAAAAAGGTGCCAAAGTAGTAGGAGTCCTCAATGGAGATGAAGCTGCTGTAATTTTACAAACTATGCGAGGGAATCTCGAATGCATTTATCCCAGAAAGCTGGTTCTCTCTTCCATTACTAATGCGTTAGCTCAGCAACGGTTCAAAGATGCATTAAACTTGGTAAGGCGTCATAGAATCGACTTTAATGTTATCGTGGATCTATATGGGTGGCAGGCATTTCTACAATCAGCTGGAGAATTTGTTGAACAAGTAAACAATTTGAACCACGTTACAGAATTTGTTTGTGCCATGAAGAATGAAGATGTTACAGAAACACTTTACAAAAACTTCTCCTTTTCCAAAACGGGTGATAAGGTTTTGCAAGTGAAAGATCGTTGTGGTAACAAAGTATCATCAGTTCTACAGGCAATTAGGAAAGCCCTTGAAGAACAGATACCAGAGAGTCCGTCAAGGGAACTCTGTATTTTGACGACTCTTGCCCGAAGTGATCCACCAGCTATTGAGGAATCTCTGTTGAGGATAAAATCTGTTCGAGAAATGGAGTTGCTAAACACTTCTACTGATTCAAGGAAAAAGTCTTGTCCATCTGCAGAAGAAGCCTTGAAACACCTTCTGTGGTTATTGGATTCTGAGGCTGTCTTCGAAGCTGCCTTAGGTCTTTATGATCTGAACCTTGCAGCTATTGTGGCACTCAATTCCCAACGTGATCCAAAAGAATTTCTACCTTATCTTCAGGAGCTGGAAAGAATGCCTGAACCCCTGATGCATTTCAACATTGACATTAGATTGCAACGTTTTGACAGTGCTCTTAAGAATATTGTATCAGCAGGGGATGGCTACTTTCCTGATTGCATGAACTTAATGAAGAAAAACCCTCAACTTTTCCCGCTGGGCCTCCAGCTAATTACTGATCCTGAAAAGAAACAAGAAGTTCTAGAGGCTTGGGCAGATCATCTCACTGATGAAAAACGGTTTGAGGATGCTGCTACTACGTACCTATGTTGCTGTAGACTGGAAAAGGCTTCTAAGGCGTATCGTGAATGTGCTGATTGGAGTGGGGTCTTTAGAGTGGGGGCGCTAATGAAATTAGGTAAAGATGAGATCTTGAAATTGGCATACGAACTCTGTGAAGAGGTCAATGCTCTTGGGAAACCAGGGGAAGCAGCAAAAATAGCTCTTGAATATTGCAGAGATATAAGCGGTGGAATAAGTTTGCTTATCAATGCAAGGGAATGGGAAGAGGCTTTAAGGGTTGCATTTCTGCATAGTGAAGATGGGTTAATCTCAGTGGTGAAGAATTCTGCTCTTGAGTGTGCTAGTGGTCTAGTAAGTGAATTCAAAGAGTCAATAGAAAAAGTAGGAAAATACTTGACTCGCTATTTAGCTGTACGGCAGAGACGATTGCTGCTTGCAGCTAAGCTCAAGTCCGAGGAACGGTCATTAATTGATCTTGACGATGACACAGCTTCAGAAGCAAGTAGCAACCTGAGCGGAATGAGCGCTTATACTTTGGGGTACATTTTTGCATTTCTCTTATCTTCTCAGCTTTTTTATCTCTGTGGAATTTTTCTTGGCTGATCTTAGATTGCATTTTAGTATAATGTAGTTGGTTTCTGGATCAAATAGGGAAGGAGTTACCAGTTTGGATCTTGACATTAAGGTTCTTGTTTTCTATGCTATTTTTCCAGGACAAGGAGAGGTTCTGCTGCTTCAGTCAGCTCAAGCACGGCAACTAGCAAGGCAAGAGATTTGAGGCGCCAGAGAAAGAGCGGGAAAATCCGTGCTGGCAGGTATATATAGATTCCTCGTGAAAAATTGATTGGTTTCAATTGATGAGCAAAAATGTAAATGAATAAAACTGCGGTGGAAAATTGCAGCGCGGGTGAGGAGATGGCTCTGGTTGAGCATTTGAAGGGAATGCGTATGACAGAAGGAGGAAAGCGAGAGCTGAAGTCGTTGTTGATATGTCTGGTAACACTTGGTGAGAAGGAGTCGGCTCAGAAGTTGCAACAGACTGCAGAGAATTTCCAGGTCGCTCAAGTAGCAGCAGTAGAGCTAGCTGACGATACAGTGTCCAGCGAAAGCGTCGATGAAGAAGTTTATTGCTTTGAACGTTACGTTCAGAAGACGAGATCCACAGCACGAGACTCTGATGCCTTTAGCTGGATGCTTAAGGTCTTCATTAGCCCATGAAAATCTCTTAATCTCTTTCTGACTGAATAAGCATATCAACAAGCTTGTGCGGTTTTTAAAAACTTCTGCTACCCGTTTCTCTGCTTCTTTCTATCTTTCCTATTTTTGCCGTTGTACACAATATAGAGATTGTGATTTTTTCCTAATGTGTTTGTTAAATCCTTATGGACAAACAAAAAGAAATTATTTTCTGTATTCCTAGAAACATTTCAGACTGGCCCACACTATCTCTTACCACTTCTATTCTATCATTATATAAGGTGAATTTGCCACATACCCAATTTTTTCATCCACATATAGGAAAAAGGAAAAAGAGTAACAAAAAAAAACCAGAACTCATGTACTCTCTTTCATTACAGGTAAAATGACAACTTATATATAAAAGAAAGAGAAAACTGTCATAAAAACTCCGAACTTACCCATTTCAGCCATTTTAATTTTAAGAGAAAACATATAAGATATATAATAGCAAAAAAATTTCTGATCATCTGTCTAATTTTGCTTGTTTTGTTGACCATATAATAGACATTATGTTCTTAGAACTTTAACATTTATTTAGAAATATTTTTTTTTATCAAATTTATGATTAATATGAATTAATTTATACTTTCTTAACTATGAATCATAGAACATAAATTGTAAACACCTTAAGAAGATTTTAATCTAGTATCTAATTTTATAATTGTGAATAAAAAAACATAATTTGTAAATAACTTAACAAATTTTAATTCATAATATAATTATATCATAATTACGCAGATAATCAATTTTAAAGTCTAATTTTTTTTTCATACATAACTAATCTAGTCTATATATAAATTAGAAAATAACCGTTTAAAGTTATGTAAAATTGAAAAGTTGTTTTCCATATCCTTTTATTTATTTAGAGAGATTATTTATGTTAATATGAATTAATTTTGAATTTTTTTAGTTGTAAATTTTAAAAAACATTTAAAATCTAATTATACAGGTCATAATTATATGACTTATCAATTTAAAATCTAATATCTGCATATCATGCAGGATCTAATTTACCATATATAGATAAAGTTTTATATACAAGGTTAGCCATCCCAACTATATTTTATTCAAGCATGTCTCGTCTTTCTTTAATTTTTTGTTTTTTGCTAAATTAGTCTTTCTTTATATTGCATTATATTTTTTTCATATTTTTTTTGGCATATTCACCAACTAATATTTTTTTATAGGTTATAAAATATTAAATTATAAACATGTACTATTTACCTAATTAATTAATTATGCTTCTATAATTTGGCTAGACATGTATTTGTCCCATAAACGTAAATGCATTTATTCAGTCTAGTACCACCATATGGTCCATATATAAAAACTTATTTTATTTTATTTTAACAAATTACGAAAGTATTTGCTGTTATTGTTTTTACATTTTCCATAACTGGCTTATAGTTTTCTTTGATTTCAAAACCTATTCTATAAATGCCTCCTCATGTCATTTGCATGTATGATGTATCCAGAATTTTTCTATATACAATAACTTTCTTTTATTTAAAGACCTTCTCTATACTCTATAAATATATCCTGTGGCCAAAAAGAAAAAAAAAACACCTCTTCTCATTCACATATATCCTTTTTCTATCGTTTTGTCATCACTACTGTACCAGAATATTATAAATCAAAATTTCATCAGAACGGTGAAGCTCCCATATCTACTCAAACAACGTTGATCATAGTCCTATGTGGCCGACTACTACAGTCTCGAGAGACCCGACCTACATTATTCGTTACTTGTGATTTTTACAGGTTCGTATTATTTCAAAAGACTTTATCCGTAAATTAATATGATTTAGTTATGAATGAGTTTAACTGGCTTTATATAGGCGTAAATATGAATCGGATCCCTTACATTTCATGATATTTCAATATGTATTGTTTAGAGGTGACGAGAAGAAAAAAATATACAACTTTCGAATAATTATAAAGAAAAATTATCACTAAACTTTTGAATTTTATTTGAATGGTAATATCGCCCAAATCTGTCCAAAACATATACAAACAACCATATCTTCGTTTTTTTCCTTTTTCCCCTAACGCTCATTCATACAGTTTTTAGTCTTGCTTTTCATGCAAATATTTTTGCCATTAAAGGCAAACAGTAAAAAAAAAAAATCACAAGAACTTTAAAAGTTTGTAGTGCAGTGGTTTCCGTTCTACTTGTTATTTTTCTCTATGACTCGAGGAGATAATAATGAGAAATTATGTAATTTCAAATAAGCCATACTTTTGTTTGGTATTAAGTGGTCTTGCTTTTTTGTTTTGTTTTGCTTTGTGACGTAAAATGACCTCATTAATTCTGGGTTTATACGCTCTCTTTTATATTTTAGAGCAATTAGGTTTATACTTTATAGGGCTCCACGGTAGATATCTGAAGGTCCCTACTCCCTACAGGCTACATCTACATCTTTTTGTTTTTGACATCTATAGTCTTTGTCATTTTAATAAAAAAATCCATCAGAGGTGGTTGATAAAGTGGTAGGTCTTATATGGATCGGTTTAGACGATCAATAAGATATGTAACGAGAAAAATGAAATAACATTGTAATATAATTAACGGAAGCGAGTGAGTAGTAGAACTCGAAACTGCCAATTTAATGAAAAATTGACAAAATAAATTATTGGGTCTATGACTATGAGAGTCAGCACCCGACCAATCAAAGAATGTTTACTTCTTAAAACACGAGTTTAGTGCTCTTTGGCTTTTCTGTTTTTTAGGCAGATGTATTAATTCCTTGCACTTCAACAAAAATGCTTTTGAATACACTTTACGTCGGAACACATGAGGACGTTATGAGGCTTCAAACAGAATTCATATTTTTATATATAATATACACACACGCATACATATAGCTTTTATTTTCCTTATAACAAACCAAAAACAGCTCTTTTCTAACCAAGACAAATTTTTTTTTTCGTATGCAGAGAAGCTGCAAATGGAGCTTGGGAAAGCAAGGCCATTCATGGCCATTGTTTTCATACAGTGTTTGTATGCATTGATGTCTATAGTAGCAAAACTAGCTTTGAACGAGGGAATGAGCCCTCACGTCTTAGTTGCTTACCGAATGGCCGTTGCTTCAGCTCTCATCACTCCTTTCGCCCTCGTCCTTGAGAGGTTCTTTCTTTTTCTACTTCTTCTTCCGGTTCATGCCTGTAAAACAACCAAAAAAAAAAACAAACTATGAAGTAGAAATCATTGTTTCCTGTGTTGCAAATGCAGGAACTCAAGACCAAAGATGACTTTTAAAATCTTGTTTCGAATATCCATCTTGAGTTTATTTGAGTAAGACTTTGTTTCATCATTTCTGATTTCACAATGATAGACATTGACTCGTCCGTGTAACTCGGTTTATATGATAAAACGCAGGCCTGTGGTCGAACAAAACCTGTACTACTCGGGGATGAAACTTACTACTGCCACATTCACATCGGCATTGTGCAATGCACTTCCTGCAATGACATTTATAATGGCCTGCATTTTCAAGTACTCGCTCTTTCTCTCTACCAATGTTATTGCCAATGCATAGACTGATGTATTGCATATACAACTGAATTCTTCTTCACTCGGTTTCTGTTTTCTTGAAAGGCTCGAGAAGGTTAATATCAAAAGGCGTCACAGCCAGGCAAAGCTGGTTGGAACCATGGTGGCTGTTGGAGGAGCAATGCTTATGACATTCGTGAAAGGGAATGCAATTGACTTACCTTGGACAAGTAAGTCAAGGGGTTTTACTGGGCAGTCACATGCTATGAATACTCCAAAGCAGGATGATATAGGAAGAGGGTCAGTTATGCTAGTAGCAAGCTGCCTCAGCTGGTCATGTTTCATTATTTTACAGGTACGGCCTATTCTCTTATAACTTTCTATAGCCGAATTCAAATGAGATTATCTTAAACCCATAATCAATTCAAGAAACAAAGAATATAACAATTATAACCTGCATTGTGTCAGGACAACCGCTTCTATTTTTCCTGTATCTTGCTAGCTAACCTAAACCCAGAAATCGTCAACCAATTTAACTAAAGCTTGATTTAATTCTCAGCAGAAAAAGATAATAATTGAGAATACCAGAGAGGTAGTAAGGTAACAGAGGCATCTATGTTTTTTCTTCAGGCAAACATACTGAGTTTATATCAAGCTGAGCTCTCGCTAACAGCACTTATGTGCTTTATGGGAATGCTGGAGGCTACTGTTATGGCATTGATATTGGAAAGAGAGGACATGTCAGTCTGGAAAATCCACCCGGACATGAGGCTATTAGCTTCGATCTACGGGGTACAACAATTCTTAGATCTGTTCCTATATTTCTCATTAAAGCCCTTTTGTGTGTGTGTGTGTGTGTGTGTGTGTGTGTGTTTATTGAGAGAAGAAGCATTGTTGATTGTCACACAGGGACTTGTCTCAGGGTTAGCATACTATGTTATTGGATGGGCATCAAAGGAGAGAGGGCCTGTGTTTGTGAGTGCGTTTAATCCGCTCAGCATGGTTCTCGTTGCTATTTTGAGCTCCTTTATTTTCTTGGAAAAAATGTACCTAGGAAGGTAACAGCCTTGATCCAAACACTACTATTGCGATAGATCTAAAGTTAGAGAATTGATTTTCACTAAATGGGCTTCCTAAATATGTAGGGTTCTTGGGTCAGTTGTCATTGTCATTGGAATATATATGGTACTATGGGGTAAAAGCAAGGACAAGGGAGGACAGCCAAACGCAGGGTGTGCAGAGAGTGTGATAAAAATTGACGAACAGATGGCTCCGACGCCCGACATTAACCAAGTAGTACCCAATAGTGGCCAGTTAATGATCCCAAAGGCAGCAACTCGGTCTCACGAGTTGGTCTGAGATGCCAATTTTGTTTTACTATCTCTATATTTGCAGAACATTTTTGATAGTATTAGTATTAAGAAAATAGTTTGCCAGAATAAGAGCAAGCAATGCGCTCCATAAAGTCTCAAAGAAGGAGTGTGCATCTTAAGTTTTTGAGTGTTTGCAGAGGTTTCGATATTTCCGTAAGAGAACTAGACTCAGCAGATAAGGCCATCATAGCAGTTCAGGGTTCTGATTTATTATTAGAAGCTATAGTTACAGAGAGCAAGAATGGAATTCACTTACGACAAACAGCCTGCCAGTTGATAACCGTCTTCTCAAGATGCCAAAGTGACAGCATCCTTCCCATAAATACGTTGAAGTTCAAGGCTGGCAACATGATACGAGGCTGAAAATAGACAAAAGTAGAACGACCTTTTCAGCTGGATAACCGACAAAGATTAGCTTTTGTATCTTGTTTTATAAGTCATGCTCTAAGCTGGTGCATCAAATTAAATTATGCACTACTACCTTTCCATGTGTTGAAATTTTTATGGTTGATATCAGATCCCGTTACATTTTGAATAGCATCGAACAACTTCTCCTGAGGTGTATTCTTCAGCTCTTGAACAACGCCATAAATGGTCTTTCCATTCTCAAAGTATATGTGGTTATTTGGGTGCTTTGTCTTGCAATTAGCATGCTGCTCGAATTCATACGCATTAAGAACCTGTTGCACAGTTCAGTTGGAAAATTAACCGATGACAGAGGTTTGTATCAAACAGACCTACCACTGAATTACTGAAACCATACGTATCACGTTGCTTACTTTATTAAGCTTGCAGTCGCCGCAACCACATAGATACCCAGTCCCCTTTATAATTCCTTTGAGATTTCTCTGCCAAATTAAGTTTCAGCACACAGAAGAGTAAAGGTGAAAGGTTCCTTCACAGGACAGGTAAAAGAACAAACTGACCTCACGTGACCACGAATAGTACTTCACAGTAACCCCATCAAACATTCCTGTTGACAACAAGGACTTAACATTTGAAGGAAATGTGTTTGTAGAACCCTTCTTAGCTGTCTTTGAATCTTTACTTTTGGGCACGAGCAAAGTATCAACCCTAGGGCTAGCATAGGGGGTATTACCAAATTCAAAAGACATGGTTTCCTCTGCTTCCATATGAAGAGGATCTTTAGCAGTTGCAGATGCATGGCTGAAGTTCTCATAACTGTTGATAACACGGACCAATGACCCCAATGTGGGTTCTTTCTGATACTCTCCAAAAGATATGGTCTTGCTTCTATCCTCGTGACTAATTTGATCATTGTTTCTGTCTGCTCTGTCTTGGCTAGAAACCATAAATGCCATCCCACCGCCTTCCGAGTATGGAGACTGTCTCCCTGACAGCACACTGGCATTATCTTTGTGATAGGAAGATTCGATCATGAAACAGTTTTCAGGTACTTTGTCACAAGAGAGAAGGGACATGAAGTTCTCCTGTCCCTTGTTAGAGGAGGGACTCGTTGAGAAGATATTATAATCCGCCTTTTGAAGAGACTGACCCATCAATACAAAGTTTTCTACACCTTTCTCAAATGGATGAAACGTTGAGAAGACATTTTCATCTCCTTTGTCATAAATATCACCCATTGGTATAACACCAACACCTTCATTATTGAAATTTCGAATGGCATTTCCATCCGTGTTGCTAGCGAATGGCCCTGGCAAGATGAAGCTCTTGTCAATATTACTGCAGGTTTGGCCAAAGGATAGCGTGCCATCTTGACTGCTATCATATGAAAGACCGGTTTCGAATGATCTTGAAATTCCCTCACCATAAAGCTGAGCCATGAGTTCGGGCACGTTGCCAGATTCACACACTTGATTGCCTTTAACCTTTGTAATGGTGTCAAGATTGAACGAGCTACCACGAACGGTATGAACCACCGGAAAATCAATTGATGAAACAGTATTGCATTGCTCCTCTATGTATTTTGTTCCCTCCTCGATGACAGGACAAATATTTCTAGAAAGGAGATCTGATGTATGCTGCGCATTAGCAGGATCGAATAAGCAACGAGTTAACTGCCTAGGCACAAGAGAATTGTCCCATGCAGACAAATTCATATGCGGAGTTGAGAAACCAGCCCGGGCACAATCAATCTCTACCATTTGTTTCTTATTACTGAGTAGTTCTGAGGCGGACGGTTCTGTCAGCCACTGATGACTCCGCTTCAGCTCCATCCTCGAAGAACCAGAATATGGAATCTCCTCAATATCCTGTCTGCCAAGATTTGGTCTCATCCTCTGTCGCAACCAGCCAGAGAAATAATCAATCAAATTGAGAGTTGCATTGTAAGAGAAGAAATCACACTGCCGCAGAGATGAAGACTCAACGACACAACACTACACAAATTAAAACATTTTAGGCTAGTTTCATCTGGAGACAATTGGAGTCTGAGCATGACGTTAATCGAGAAAAGTTATTGTTACGAATAAAAGGAATAGTAAAGTTGGGATTTTTAAGTCAAAAACAAATTTGCTCCTCGTGAAAGGGAAAATCTAGAACCCTAAAACCAAAGAAATCCCCGCTCTTTAATCCTGGCGCTTACCATGCATCACTGGAAATGAGATCGCAGAGCTGTTCTTTAGTAGCTCCAACGCGCGGTCGGATTGACTGCCGGCGAAGTCAAAACCCAGAATCCAACAGATGAAGTCGTCAGGAAAATCCAAAATTTGGGGATTTTGGGCAGAAAAAAAAGAGGCGTAGTTTCTTCAAATTCCGATTAGAAGGAGAAAGAGAAGTGGGACTGTTGAGGTTCAGGGAAGAGTGTAGAAAGAAGGAAGAATCATCAAGTGATCTCGAAGGGACTCGTATCAGTTATGCCTTAATAAGAGTAAGTTGAAACGTTATACGGATTAATTTTTGCGACTCGATATAACGAGTAATGCCCGCCAAACTCAATTATATCTTTTTTTGGGTCGCAGAGTTTTTCGGATGAATTACACTAATCCGGAGGATTAACGGATTAATAACGAATTTTTATGATGATATAACAAGGATTGTTTAATTAATCGGGATTATGGGCCAGTGTTGAGAGTCATGAGAGAAACAAAATTATTTCTGAATGCATTTTCACTTCTCATGGATATATGATAAAGGATTCACCATTTTTAACTTTAGAAGTTGTACAACTTTCAAGCATCAGATGATCAAATGCGGAAGTAGTCCAAAGGGGTTTTCCAAAGACATTGATTGGAATACACGAGGACTCACCCTTTGCTATAAGAATAATAAATTTACTATGTATAATCATCAAACAAGCCTATAAATAACATTAGAAGATATACCACTAGAAACTAGATTTCATCTTTTTTTATTAAAAAAAAAAGCTTTTTCCCGTTTCGTCCAAACCCAGCTGCAAAAAATTGGGCCTTTCTTTTACCTGCCTTTCTTTGCCATTTTAGGATTCTTGCACATCCGAATGCTAAGAGGCGTTACCTCCACCAGTTCATCCTCTTCAATGTATTCGATGCAGTCGTCCAGACTATAGGTCAAGGGAGTGTCAAGAACCACTGTAATTCAGAAAAAAAAAAGACTTGTGAGCAGATGGGTTTGAAACTTGCACTAGTTAAAAGGTTATATGAAATACCTGTTACATCTTTGTTGGAGCGTATGTTCGTCGCCGCTTTCTTCTTGCAGATATTAAGGCCCAAGTCGCCAGGTCTCTGGTGGATCCCAACTATCTGGCCTTTGTATACATCCACACCTGCACCTACAAACATTTGCCCTCTCTCTTGCGCACTTGCCAGAGCATATGATGTTGATGTTCCATCTTCAAAAGCAACCTGAAAATCCCACTTTCTTATTCAGACACATGTCTCATCAAAGTTTACTCTCATATAAGGATCGCTAATTCCTGGAAACTACTATCTAAACTCCCTCACTTACCAGCGAACCCAGATCACGGGTGCTAATATCGCCGGCCCAGGGTCCATAACTGTCAAATATAGTGTTGAGGATAGCTGTCCCACGAGAAGCTGTTAAAATTGCATTCCTCAATCCAAGAAGTCCACGTGTTGGGATTTTGTACCGCAGGAAGACTGTTCCTTCCGACCTGTCATTCAGGATTCACAGGCATAGTCAGATTGCTCTTAGTAGCTGCAAACAGCTTTTCTGACAAAACAACTATGCACACCCAGCACCTTGCATGTAAAATAAAAGGGATGGCAAAGAGAAACACAATACATACCCAACACCCTGCATATCAAACATCTGTCCACGCCTTTTGCCAAGAAGTTCAACTACAGGCCCCATGTGATTCTCTGGTACTTCAACAGTTGCTACCTGAATTGGTGAATTTTGAAGTCAGATAGGACGTCTTTACTTTTCATAAAAGAAGTTATTTTCAATGAGTAGACAATTAAACTTGATGCTCATCCCTTTGCTAGGAAAATAATCACGCCACTCAGAAACTCACCTCATATGGCTCTAGCAATTTATCGTTAACCCTTTTGTTGATAACTTTCGGGGGTCCAACCATGAATTCATATCCCTCTCTTCGCCTGGAACATATTCATCGTTCAGCTACTTTCAATATCACATATGAAAGGAATGATGGCCAGTGAAGTACTTACATGTTTTCTATCAGGATGGTAATGTGCAATGTACCTCGCCCACTAATAATGAATGTATCTGCTGTCTCACCATCTTCCACTTTCATAGCTAGATTTCTTTCAAGTTCACGGTTTAAACGGTCTCGTAAGTTCCTGCTCGTTACATACTTCCCCTACAAAAAAAGGAAAATATAAGTCAAATGTTGCACTAGTCCTTTTCATTTTGGTCGACAACGTTTCACTAATCCCAGTAACAGCTTCCCTCTTAATATCTGTAGCCATGCAATTATGGAAAATGAGAAAGATAGACTAATCACAGTCATATCAGCCATGATTACACCTACCTCACGACCAGAAAACGGAGAAGTGTTTACAGAGAAGGACATTTTCACAGTTGGCTCTTCCACTTTAATTGTAGGTAGAGGCTTCCCATGTACTTTATCAGCAATAGTCTCCCCAATCTGCAAATTTTAAGGGGTTTACAAAGAAACCAAGACATTACAACTCAATTAGTAACAAAAAGAAAATTGACAAGTGGCAGCAATTATCCAGGAGCGTTACAACAGTCTCACATTTGGCATCAAATTATCCATGCATATATGCGTACCTGAATGTCATCTATGCCACATACAGCGCAAATATCTCCAGCGGCCACTGAATCAACAGGTACTCTGTAGAATTTCTCATAAACAAAGAGCTCGCTTACTCTTGCAAATCTACAGGAATCTTCAGAGGTGCACACCTGTAAAGATATACCGAAATAAGTCTACTATAAACCATATCAATTTCGCCAGAAATTGGTGAGTTCATATGGATTCTCGAAGATTCTCAAGGTTATGGCACCATCCCTGAGTCCACATTCAGTTACACTTTGGACGTATTTCATCACAAGCTTTAATGAACTAGAAACCAAGGAAACGTAACAGAAATTTCGTCTAGCGATATCTTGTTGTCTATTTTGCTTTCTATTGCCCATTATTTTATAGGTTATATTGGCAGAGGCCACCAGCTCTATAAGGTGGAAAGACTTGAGAGATTGTCTAGTTTAAGGTGATATTTTTGTGTATGTGTCCACATCATTGGTGTCCGATAACAAAAGAAAAAGCTGAAAATCAAAATGTTACCCTGACATCCATTCCTTTGCGCAGAGCCCCTGCGTGTAGCCGCCCAATAGCAATTCGGCCTTTATGCTCATCATACTCGATATTTGTGGCCTGAAAAAAAAAAACAAATATTAGTTGCATAGAAGTGAATATCTCCTCAACTCAATTAGACTGTCTGGTTTATTGATGTGTACATTTTCTGCTTGGAGATGAAAGAATAAATATGCATTGGCACTGGGTGGTAACAAACAAAAAAAACCATGAAACGGTAAGAAAATCACAGTAACTCACAAGCATCTGAAGTGCACCATCTTTATTAATATTTGGCCCAGGTACACATCTAATTATAGCCTCGAACAGGGGTCCCAGGTCTTCTGCAAGGTCATCCGGAGAAAGCCCTGCTTTTCCTTTAATCCCACTAGCATATATCGCTTGGAAATCACACTACAGGGCACACACACCCAAAAAAAAACATTACCGTTAATGTCATACAATTATTGTATACTCAAAAGGATAACGAGTCACGAGGGAAACCACACAAAGAATAGGCAAATCCAAAATTGACAATACCTGTTCATCTGTAGCATTTAGTTCAATAAATAGCTCAAAAGTCGAATTGACAACAAATTCAGGACGAGCAGAAGGCCTGTCAATCTTGTTTACGACCACGACAACTGCATGTCCAAATTCAAGAGCCTTCTTTAAAACAAACCTTGTCTGGGGCATTGGTCCCTCAACAGAGTCCACCTAAGAAACAAAGGAATGAGGGGAGGAAAATGAGAAATGCAGAGCTGAAAAGTTGATACTATAGCATTTGGACGAAGCATCAAATTACCACAAGAAGCACTCCATCAACCATGTTCAAGACGCGCTCCACTTCACCGCCAAAGTCAGAGTGGCCAGGAGTATCTATGATATTTACTTTTGTATTTTTGTAAGTGATGGAAGTGTTTTTGCTAAGAATTGTGATTCCTCTTTCACGCTCAAGGTCATTTGAGTCCATGATCCTCTCTTGCATGACTTGGTTATCTCGGAACACCTGCAAAAGTAAGATATGGATTAAGACAAAGAAAAGAGCCACCATTACATTGAGAAGAGACATCGAGTAAACTTTCTCAGGTTGGATGAAAAATCAAATGTCATTTGCGTTCCAGCTGTTACCTTAGCTTGCCTCAGCATAGAATCAACCAAAGTAGTTTTTCCATGATCAACGTGTGCTACAATTGCTATATTCCTCACGTCATTCCTCCTCACCAATTGCTTCTTCACTTCTATTGGAATAACAAGAGTGATTTTGTTTAGAGAACCAATCGAAATATAGAAATTCACTTCTTGAAACTATATCGATCAGACTGAGGAGAGTGGAAGGCCTTATCCTTAAGTTTCAAATTCGCAATCAATTCTTAATTTGTTAATTTCAAACTGAAATATAAACAGAAGCAAAAAAAAAAAGCTAGACTCCTTCCTTCAACAAAGCCGGAATCAATTTCAGCAGCAAAAACTACTTCACCCTATCTGAACAAAAGAAAATCAGTAGATAGAGAAGACGGTAATGACCAGAGGATGGTTCGGCGGTTGATGGAGAGGCTGAGCAAGCGATGGGACGATGAAGCGAACGCCGGGAACGAAATCGGAGAGCTCCTCCTGGTTTAAGCGCGGAAGCAAAGCTGACGCCGAGCACTTGTTGCTTGTGAAGAAGAAGAGGAGAACCTTGTCTCCTCAAAACCGCTGGAGAAGCGGAAGAAGTGCTCAAGCTAAGCTCCATTTCAATTCTCTCCGCCGAAGAACAGAGGAGAGGAGAGATGGAGAGAGAGCTAAAGGATATATTTGGTTGGAGAGGAGAAGCTTTGTTGTTTTATTCCGAGAATTTTCGTTAAGACTGCGTTTTCGTATAGAGTAGATGGACCAGGTTAAGCCACGTCTCTGACTCTTGGACTTATCGATTCCCAAACTAAGACCCACACCACACAGAGCCGCGTATGTTAGATGGTGGCTCACCAAAAGTCACAAGTGGCACATGACCAGCTTCTAGGTCTTAGTGCCATGGCTCACAAAGACTGCATACTTCGTAATGAATAATGAATTTTATGTTTGCATTTCATAATTGACTGTAGTGTATTTATCAAATTTGGCACTCAAATTGAATCATTCTCTACACTAAGTAATACCCATAAACCGATGCTTTCCACAAGACAAATAACATGGCGCAGCAAGTCTTACATTATCGGTCGAAGGAGGAAACATTAAATAGGATTGTATAATTTACATCCATAAGAATATGAAAAAAAGGTATTGAGAATATTGCACCACCAAATGTCCTTCTCAGGCTTCTTGTGACTTGAGCATCATGACGATAATGATTGAAAATGATGATGATGATGATCTCTCTTGGATTCATAGAAGTTGACACCTTAACGAGATCAAAATATTCACAGCTTCAAGTCAATGCGTTCAGACCATTCATATATACCCGAGTAGACTTGGTCATGTCCTATATCTGACCCATTACCTCCCGTGGCAATCCTCATGATATCTTCGATCAATGCAAAGTTACCCATAATATCGACATGAGCCCCACTCTGAGTCCCACGCCCTTCAAGCAGGTTAGCCGGTGGAGAATGATTATACTCTCTAACATAAGTCTTGATTCCTGAAGGATTGAATCTTGTCTTGCCACGCCACGCTTTTGCACACATGAACCCGGCACTTAAAACAGGTACTGTCTCATCTCCATCCACATTGTAAACTCCTGCTTTCAGACAGCTATCTTCATCCTCCTCATGAGCATTAGTGAAGATTTGAAAGGGAATACAACTGTCAGGAGACTGGTTTAGCTTGTAGACGTATGATCTTTCGGTTGGTATACCAACTCCATACAATGAGAAGATTTCCATTTCAGGAGCATTCGGTAATCTGAAACAACATAACAAACCAAACGTAGTTTTCAACCCAGAAAAATAGAGGAAAAATGATCATGATGGGATAGAGAACATATTCTTATGCAAAAGCTCTAAGCATTGTGGTTATGAGAAGTAACTGAGAGTATCTGAGCAGCGCATAGACATAAGATGCTCCAATGAGTTCTAAACACCTCTAAAACTAGAAGGTGGTAATAAGGGGTTTTCATCCAAATTTTTTTTGAATTAGCTGATTTATTTTTCATGTCAAAGCCACCATTGAGCTACTTTTATAAGCAAGGGTATATCAACTTTGGTACCTAAATATAACTGAGCAAGCTTCTTTGAGAAAGACTCAAATAGCGTTCTTAGCTTTGAGCTGATAACTACATTCAATATGACGAAGCATAGAGTTGGTACCAAGACAAATCACTTACTTCGTTTCCAACGGATTTGACCAGTGTCTGTGATGTTGGTACTTGGGGTCATCCAAATCATCAGCAATTCCGTAGGAGAAATGAGCGGAACCACGTGCCATCATCTTGGGAGCTACATAATGTAGTAAATCGATAACTGCATCAGCAGTATAGACCTTATATTCAGCAATAGCTTTGATCCCTCCAATTCCCATATCATGGTACTCTGTCCACACATCACGACAGGTATTATTTGGGACACTCTGACCTTTGACCGCACCCTTCACCAAGAAACAAAGTATAGATTATTAATCATCTAATCACAAAAAGTAAAAGGTTTATATGATTTACATATCCATACTCGAAAATCAATATTTTTAATTTCAGATGGCGGAGCCTCTGCCACTTCTTTCCCAAACGATATAATTCTTCCGTAGTTAACAGGTTTTGTCTTGGAAACTGAATTTTCACCATCTTCACCACGAGTCCCGTTGCTCTTTTGCTTTTTCCCAAAACAGGTGTGGCCTTTCTCCGGTGACCAATCAAGACCACCCCATATTGTGTCACCTCCCTTAGGTATCATAGACATTGTTGAGTCCCATGTGCGTGTCATTCTCATTACATGCTGCAGTGTCTGAAGTCTAAATATATCGGTGTCTAAGAACCCTGGGGCAATCGCTCTGCAATTTCCGAAGACAGTATAGTTTTATTAAAGAACCAAGCGACTAAAAGTGCAACTAAACCAACAATTCCTTTAATGAGGCAGAAATAAAATACCATTGATGCATATACAGGAAAACTGACATAATCAACAGTATATCAGAAATTGGTAAAGAATGGAAGCTCCAGAGCTTTCTACAGCAATATACAATGCCCACAAAAAAAGACCATATGACGAATATAATCGCCAATGCTAAGAAACTAGACAGGAGCACTTAAATGTTTCTTTCAGTAGATCTATACTTAGACTGCCTAAAATTGATCAGGCATTTCTTTGACGCACTGGCACAGAATGTTGTCACTATTAAGTCAGACACTTGTAAAGAAGATGAGCTCAGCTAGCTGATTTGAAACAGCAAGAATCAGAATATTCAAATATAAGGCTCATAGCAAATCTACCGTAACTTATATGAAACTATGTTTCCTAGAAGTTCACTCTATCACCAAACAGCCGTAATAATCAAATTCAATCAACTTTTCAAATCTCTAGAGAGTTCCAGTTTCATAAGCAGCAAAAATAACCAGTTAACATCAATATTGAAGCAGGGATACTAAAGGACTATCACTAGAACTGATATTTAGTAGCATGCAAGGTTCTGATCACCAAAAGCACAATCAGCTATTCAATACCTGGCAACTGCAACATCCTTAGCTTCAGCAGAGAAAAGCCCTGCAACAGCTTTTGGAACACCAAGAAATGGTCCACCAATGTTCATCACAGCCTTTATATACTTTGCACACCAATCGGGCCCACCCCCGCCACCCATAGGAGCTGGTGCCTCAACCCATTTCATAAAATGTAGAAAATACAAGACCCCCATGGAATGTGGAACTATTACTGCCTTTTTTCCACTGTTAGTAGAAACCATCAACTCTATGTTACTTTTCATACGGCTAAGTGTCTGGTCTCGCACCTAATATTCCAACATGATTAAAAAAAAAAAAAACATAATTCAGCCGTAATAGATGAAGAAAGAAACGTGAACAGAATACTAGATATGTTTTATGAGAAAAGTACCTCTGTGTTCTGAAACGAAAGCCTCCAGTCATATGCAGCCATGTACATGTTTTTCTCTTCATATCCAATATGTGCAAGGTTAGCAATCAGTACTGCCCAGACAAAGTACCCAGGGGCAAAGTAATCAGCAGCCACGAGTCCTGATACAGCTCTAACTCTGATACCAGCAGGATCCATCCCGGTTTCGTTGTCAAGTGACATGTGTTCCACCCAACATAGAGGCCTGAATCAAAGACATAATCAATCTACTTAAAATGCTAACAACAATAACACTCTGGAAAACTTTCGAAATCTCATTTTCACTTCTCACAAAAAAAAAAAAGCACATTGAGCTGAAAGACAAAAGAAACCAACTTATAGTTGCACATGCGTATAGCTGAAGTATAAAGCAACAATCCTAAATCACGGTCTATACACATCTTTCACATCTATTCCTAACAGAACAAAAAGAAAAACACTACTTCAGTATACGCTCCATACAAGTAAATATTCAGTGACCATAGACGGAGCAACATGTTACGAACAGGATCTAAGGCATATCTAGCAACAGAGTTGGCGATAAAAATGACTTGAGATTCCAAGGCAGCTGTCAATTTAGATCAAACGTGTTTCATTGGATATCTTGCTCAACACCCAAAGTTGGAAACTATCTCCTTGGAAACACTTCCCTTACACAAACGCATATATAACAGAAATAGTAGGTATCCTCAAAAGAAAATAGCTTTTCACACCTAAAAGGCGAGAGTAACGAGTGAGACAGATGTGAAATTTAAGTTTAGAGTTATGTTTCAACAAGCAACAAGTGCGTGATCTAATCAGATCCAAACCCAAAACGCCAATAGAAAAATTAAAAATTGGAAGCTTCACCTTTTGTAGACTTCACCGAAAGTTCCACCCCACAAACGTTTTCTAAACAAACCATCTGCGCATTGTTTGCCTTCCCAAAGCTCAAGCCCTCCAGTGACAATTCCGGGAATGAAGATAACGGGATGCTTCGCCTTGAGACCTTCTTTCTTCAGCTTCACGCCGGGCGGATCGGGCAGAGGACCCGTGATCGCTTCCGTTACATACTGAGGAAAGCTCGCAGGCATAGCGTTGTATAGGAAGAGAAGGAACCACCATGTGACGCACACACACCCGATGAACCAGCAACATGAATCAACGCATGACCACTTCCCCTTGTCGACTCCTCCTCCGCTCGATTTCTTATGAGTTTTCGAAGATTCATGAGGTTTCTTTTGAGAATCCTCATCATCGGGTACCTCTTCCTCGGACGGTTTCTCTGTCGGCTTTTTCCGATGAATAAGGGGCATTTCGGTCACTTGAAGAAATGACCAGAAGAAGGCCACGGACGATTAGAACCAAGAGTATGTGCACCCTTCAATCTCAAACCTGTCCTGGTCGAATTAGGGATCAGATCATTCGAGAGAGCCCAGCTGATTTGCTACGAATTCTTCTTAATTAATCAAATAAAATTTGTTTTTGTCTTTCTTTTCTATTTTTTTTGGTTTTGTAGACTTTTTTCTGTTTTCTGATATCCTCCAGCTGACGAATAAAGCTCGAACCGGATGGCAAACATTGCTCCTGGTTGCGGTTCAAGTGCAACCGACATCCGATTCGTATCGTTGATTTCATTACTAGTCCAAACAGTTTTTTTCACTGTATTTTTAACACTTCGCTCCGTTTCAAATTATATTTTAGAGACAAATTTTATCAGTTATCTATGACCTGGGTAAGTTTGACAAAAAGATAACTGGTTAAACTATTTTGCTGTAAGAAAAATAGAAAACCATAGATTCATTTTTATTGCACTGCAATTTCATAAAATTTTAACTCTTAATTTGGTCATAGACTCATAGTACAACAGAATCTTCCATTGGATTCCGGATTCATTTCAGAGTACCGGCTGTTTGCAAATGTTAACCGGCCGGTCCGATCGGTGTTGAAAACAGAGCACATAAATGGCATCGGATATGTCCAAGGAATCTTTTACATGGCTGAAACGGAAATACGAGATCTTAAAAAATAAAAGATATATACACACTGAATATCCACACGCCTAAACCATGAAAATTTGAATAGAAATCTCAATGAGCCAATCAGAAGGCAGCAAACTCCATCTCATTGTCTTAAGCAGATATAGATCCGACAAAACTCAACCTCACAACTTAATAACCCCTCTTGCGTACTCATTCGTCCACGTGTCCTTCCCTCCCACCACTTACCTTCAAAACCAACGCTGCTTTTTTAGTTCCTTCTTCCGAAGCGCTAATGATGAGAGAAACATAAACTCCCACTTGGAGCAGAAGTGTAAACGACAACAAAAAAATCGAAAGAAGAAGAAGAGAGATCGATTCTCCTCTCTTCTCATCTCAATCTCAAACTCTTCTCTTCCATATCCTCTCCTATCCGATTCAACAACTTTGAATCGAATCTGTAAGCCAGAAAAATGGCTTCACTTGTTTATTCTCCCTTCACTCTATCCACCTCCAAAGCAGAGCATCTCTCTTCGCTCTCTAACAGTAACAAACATTCATTTCTCCGGAAGAATTCCAGATCAGCCAAACCCACCAAATCCTTATTCAAGGTGAAATCCGCTGTTTCCGGAAACGGCCTCTTCACGCAGACAAACCCGGAGGTCCGCCGTGTAGTTCCGATCAGGAGAGACAACGTTCCGACGGTGAAAATCGTCTACGTCGTCCTCGAGGCTCAGTACCAGTCATCTCTCACGGAGGCCGTGCAAACACTCAACAAGACATCGAGATTCGCGTCCTACGAAGTCGTTGGGTACTTGGTAGAGGAGCTTCGTGACAAGAACACTTACAAGAGCTTCTGCGATGACCTCAAAGACGCCAACATCTTCATTGGTTCTCTGATTTTCGTCGAGGAATTGGCGCTTAAAGTCAAAGATGCTGTGGAGAAAGAGAGAGACAGGATGGACGCGGTTCTCGTCTTCCCTTCCATGCCTGAGGTAATGAGACTGAACAAGCTCGGATCTTTCAGCATGTCTCAATTGGGTCAGTCCAAGTCTCCGTTTTTCCAACTCTTCAAGAGGAAGAAAGCAGGCTCCGCTGGTTTCGCCGACAGTATGTTGAAGCTTGTTAGGACATTGCCCAAGGTTTTGAAGTACTTACCGAGTGACAAGGCTCAAGATGCTCGTCTCTACATCTTGAGTTTACAGTTCTGGCTTGGAGGGTCTCCTGATAATCTCCAGAACTTTGTTAAGATGATTTCGGGATCTTACGTCCCGGCATTGAAAGGCGTCAAAATCGAGTACTCGGATCCGGTTTTGTTCTTGGATACCGGAATTTGGCATCCTCTTGCACCATGTATGTTTGATGATGTCAAGGAATACTGGAACTGGTACGACACTAGAAGGGACACCAATGAGTCTCTCAAGAAGAAGGACGCGACGGTTGTCGGTTTGGTCCTGCAGAGGAGTCACATTGTGACTGGTGATGATAGTCACTATGTGGCTGTTATCATGGAGCTTGAGGCTAGAGGCGCTAAGGTCGTTCCTATTTTCGCTGGAGGGTTGGATTTCTCTGGTCCAGTAGAGAAATATTTCGTTGATCCGGTGACGAAACAGCCCATCATTAACTCTGCAGTCTCCTTGACCGGCTTTGCTCTAGTGGGTGGACCCGCAAGGCAGGATCATCCGAGGGCTATCGAGGCCCTGAAGAAGCTTGATGTTCCTTACCTTGTGGCAGTACCATTGGTGTTTCAGACAACAGAGGAGTGGCTAAACAGCACACTTGGCCTGCATCCTATCCAGGTGGCTCTCCAGGTTGCTCTTCCTGAGCTTGATGGTGGGATGGAGCCAATCGTTTTCGCTGGCCGTGACCCTAGAACAGGTTAATCCACTTTTGACCATATTGCATGTTTCTTAGTTTTCATTACTAGGGTCTAGGGTTAGAATGGTTTCTTATTGAGGACGTTTGTTTACCAATTGCTGCAGGGAAGTCGCATGCTCTCCACAAGAGAGTGGAACAACTCTGCATCAGGGCGATTCGATGGGGAGAGCTCAAAAGAAAAACTAAGGTATTATTACCAACTCATCCTTAGTGAAATCACATTCCTTTCTCAAGCATGCAATGTATGTTCTAATGAATATAACCTGGCTCATTGCAGGCAGAGAAGAAGCTGGCAATCACCGTTTTCAGTTTCCCACCTGATAAAGGAAATGTAGGGACTGCAGCTTACCTTAACGTGTTTGCTTCCATCTTCTCGGTCTTGAAAGACCTCAAGAGAGATGGCTACAATGTCGAAGGCCTTCCCGAGAATGCAGAGACTCTTATTGAAGAGATCATTCATGACAAGGAGGCTCAATTCAGCAGTCCTAACCTCAATGTTGCTTACAAAATGGGAGTCCGCGAGTACCAAAACCTCACTCCTTACGCGAACGCCTTGGAAGAAAACTGGGGGAAACCTCCCGGTAACCTGAACTCAGACGGAGAGAATCTTTTGGTCTATGGCAAAGAGTATGGTAACGTTTTCATCGGCGTACAACCGACATTTGGGTATGAAGGTGATCCCATGAGGCTGCTTTTCTCCAAATCAGCGAGTCCTCATCACGGTTTTGCCGCTTACTACTCCTATGTTGAAAAGATCTTCAAAGCTGATGCTGTGCTTCATTTTGGAACACATGGTTCACTTGAGTTCATGCCTGGCAAGCAAGTGGGAATGAGTGACGCTTGTTTCCCGGACAGTCTCATCGGGAACATTCCCAATGTTTACTACTATGCAGCTAACAACCCCTCTGAAGCTACCATTGCAAAGAGGAGAAGTTATGCGAATACCATCAGTTATTTGACTCCTCCAGCTGAGAATGCTGGTCTGTACAAAGGGCTGAAGCAGTTGAGCGAGCTGATATCATCGTACCAGTCTCTGAAGGACACCGGGAGGGGTCAACAGATCGTCAGTTCCATCATAAGCACTGCTAAGCAATGCAATCTTGATAAGGATGTGGATCTTCCAGATGAAGGAGCAGAGCTGTCAATTAAAGACAGAGATCTTGTGGTTGGGAAAGTGTATTCCAAGATTATGGAGATCGAATCAAGGCTTTTGCCGTGCGGGCTTCACGTCATTGGAGAGCCTCCATCCGCCATGGAAGCTGTGGCCACGCTGGTTAACATCGCTGCGCTGGATCGTGTGGAGGATGAGATTTCATCTCTTCCTTCTATATTAGCTGAGACTGTTGGAAGAGAGATTGAAGATGTTTACAGAGGAAATGACAAGGGAATCTTGAGCGATGTAGAGCTGCTTAAACAGATAACCGATGCCTCGCGTGGAGCGGTCTCAGCCTTTGTTGAAAAAACAACAAACAGCAAAGGACAGGTGGTGGATGTGTCTGATAAGCTCTCCTCTATTCTCGGGTTTGGAATCAATGAGCCGTGGGTTGAGTATTTGTCCAACACAAAGTTTTACCGGGCGAACAGAGATAAGCTTAGGAAAGTGTTTGCTTTCCTTGGAGAGTGCCTGAAGTTGGTGGTCATGGACAACGAACTCGGGAGTCTAATGCAAGCTTTGGAAGGGAAGTTCGTTGAGCCAGGTCCAGGTGGTGATCCCATCAGAAACCCAAAGGTTTTACCAACCGGTAAAAATATCCATGCCTTGGATCCACAGGCTATTCCCACAACAGCAGCAATGGCAAGTGCCAAGATTGTTGTGGACAGGTTGGTCGAGAGACAGAAGCTCGAGAATGAAGGCAAGTATCCCGAGACAATTGCGCTTGTTCTCTGGGGAACTGACAACATCAAGACATATGGGGAGTCTCTTGGACAGGTTCTTTGGATGATTGGTGTGAGACCAATCGCTGATACTTTTGGAAGAGTGAACCGTGTCGAACCTGTGAGCTTAGAAGAGCTAGGAAGGCCCAGAATCGATGTCGTTGTTAACTGCTCAGGCGTCTTCCGTGATCTGTTTATCAATCAGGTAAATAGATCAAAACATTATCATTCTTTCATTCTATGGCTTACATTTTGGATTCTTGATGGTTAGTCTCTCATGGTGCTTCTTCTTTCTTGAATTTGTCTTACAGATGAACCTTCTTGACCGAGCAATCAAGATGGTGGCCGAGCTAGATGAGCCGGTAGAGCAAAACTTTGTGAGGAAACACGCCATGGAACAAGCAGCAACGCTTGGCGTAGATATTAGGGAGGCAGCGACAAGAGTATTCTCAAACGCCTCAGGGTCATACTCATCCAACATCAACCTTGCTGTTGAGAACTCTACATGGAACGATGAGAAACAGCTTCAGGACATGTATCTGAGCCGGAAGTCGTTTGCGTTTGATAGTGATGCTCCTGGAGCAGGAATGGCTGAAAAGAAGCAGGTCTTTGAGATGGCTCTCAGCACTGCAGAAGTCACGTTCCAGAACTTGGATTCTTCCGAGATTTCCTTGACTGACGTGAGCCACTACTTCGACTCTGACCCTACAAACCTGGTTCAGAGTCTGAGGAAGGATAAGAAGAAGCCGAGCGCTTACATTGCTGATACAACAACCGCAAACGCACAGGTTCGTAAAGCTTCTCTCCTCTTGGTTCTTTTATCACTCGTAGAATATTAAAACACATTTGCTTAAGTTATCTATCTGAATCTGGCAGGTGAGGTCACTATCTGAGACAGTGAGGCTAGACGCAAGAACGAAGCTGCTGAATCCAAAGTGGTACGAAGGGATGATGTCAAGTGGATACGAAGGAGTTCGTGAGATAGAGAAGAGACTGACCAACACTGTTGGATGGAGTGCAACGTCAGGTCAAGTAGACAACTGGGTGTACGAGGAGGCCAACTCAACTTTCATCCAAGACGAGGAGATGCTTAACCGTCTCATGAACACTAATCCAAACTCCTTCAGGAAAATGATTCAGACTTTCTTGGAAGCAAATGGTCGCGGATACTGGGAAACTTCTGCTGACAATATCGAGAAGCTCAAGGACTTGTACTCTCAGGTGGAAGACAAGATCGAAGGGATCGATAAATAAACAATGGGGAAGCCTTTTTTTTCTTGTAATTAAATCAAACTGCATTAATGTGTAATTTTTCAACCAAGGACATCAGCTCTCTGTGAATAAGAGAATGTTTTTGCTGACATTTTCTGACTTTATATGATTGTTGTGCATTTTCTTCTATGCTTAGGAGTCATGATCAATAATATTATGCGTCCCAATTTATTATATATTTTTCTTTGATCACCTTTCTCATATTTATTTGATATATTTTTCTTTGATATCCTTAATCTTCTCGATCCATTCTCCGTTCACTATCACCTAGATCTGCTGAATTAGTTGTGTCTTAATCGTCTCAATGCATTTTCCATTTTCCGTTCACTATCATCAGATTCAATCAATCTGGGCCCAAGTCAAGACACAACTTCGATGGCCCAAATTAAGAAAGACAGGCCCAGTTGTGAAGCCCTGTCTAGTTGAGCAGAACAAGACAAAAACCTTCCCAAGCTCAAATCCTCTGTACCTGCAAAAGACGTTAGACTGAAGAAGGAGACGCTCCTCCTGCAAAACAATTTTGATTCTCTTCAATCTGTCTCTTGTGGCTAATCCTATTTACAGCTGTATCATTTTGATAAAGATGGACAATGTTCTGGATTGTTCCAAGAACTCCTATAAAATCGATTGTAAGTGTAAGCTCATTTGTAAAATGTATTGAGAAAACAGAGTATTAATAAAAGTTCATTTTTTTTCTCTTCTTCATACTAGGCACAGCACACATCGAAAAGTTGAACTTTTTCCGTCTCTCTCGTATGCAAAAAAAAACTGTATTATTTTGGGATTTCCCATTGTGTTTTGGGATTTACAGAGGGGAAGAGAATAATCAAAATGACATGAAAGAAGAAATTGCTGAATTGGACGGGAGGGCCAGGTAATGACATAAATACTATAATATAAATGAAATTTTGTTACTGATGCCAAATAAATAATAAAATGAATGCTTGTAAATATTTAAAATGTAACATGAAATAATTAACCCATGAGGGAAATATATAAAAATGGGAATGGATAGGGCATTTAAAGAAAAAATAAATAAGATGGTAACATAGTAGATTTGGTTCATGAAGATGGTGTCTCTTAATAAAGAAAATGAAGTGTGTCCAGAAATATATTCACCATTTCAGTGGATTCCTTTTGAAACAAACTCTATCTGTTCAATTCAACCAAAAAAAAAAAAAAATCTATCTACTTCTTCATCTCGAATCACCAAGTAAACTCATATACTGTCAAAAGAAAAAGAAAAAAAATTCATATTCGTGTTGTGAAGAAAATAATCAATGGCTTCTTCATCATCAACATCGTCAAAATTCGTGACACGAGAAGAGTTCCATGCTTTCCACAAGCTTGACAGAGCTCTTTTCAGTCGTCTTGTCTTAAGTCTAAGACGAGACATTAGCCAGTCTCTTCAGGTAATGAGCTTTCTCCTCCACCTCGAGAAAACTGGTCTCTTGAGAAACATAATCGTGAATCTTGTCTATTTACCCGATTTTTTCATCAACGCCGTGGCTGAAGAAGCCGTGTTGTGTCTGAGTTGCTTGTCTTACGAAGATTTCTCAACGTTCGTTGCCACTTTGGGGCAAAACACCAACTCATTTACCATACCATTGATCACTCGTATGACTGGAGAGTACCTTAGTCTCGCAGTCATCCACAAGAACCGCGAAAACATTCTCCTTGAGATGAAGAAGCACTTAACTCGTATATGCTACCCAGCTTTTGAGGACATATGCGTGCACGCTGAGAAGGAGAAGATGTATACTGTGGAGAGGGAAAAGGCGATAGAGAAGATGAGCCAGCTTGGAATTAGCAGGATTGTTAGTAAGGCTGGTCAAAAAGAAACAAGTAATCACGTAGCAGGAACAAACAAGGTTTCTGGTGCATTCTCCGATGATGAGCAAGTGAATGCAGACGAGAGGACTGTCTTCCTCACGTTTTCTAGAGGATACCCAATTTCTGAAGCGGAAGTGCATGCTTTCTTCACCAGGTACTGAATGAATCCATTTGATTATAAGCCATTGGTTTTGATCTGATATATGAAAATGAATGGTTTGGCATGGTCGTGCATGCATGTGGTTAAAGGTTTTCACGTTGGAGTATTTTTAATTTAAATGGTAGTGTTTTTTTTTTTTTTTTTTTGGGGTGTTGAAGGAGATTTGGGGAAATTATAGAATCCATACACATGCCTGGAGTGGAAGGGAATGGGCAGGCGCTGTATGCAAAGATGGTTTTACATTCTGCCTCCAAGATTCCAGAGATTGTAGAAAATGGTGGGGACACCAAAACCAAATTCACCATCAATGGAAAACATGTTTGGGCTCGAAAATTCCTTCCCCAATCTTCCAACAGTCTTCCCCAATCTTCCAACAGTCTTCCCCAATCCTGTGGAGTCTCTCTCTAGTTTTCTTATATCATACTTCTTGATTGATCTTGAGGAGTTGTCAAGGGCTGTGGCGACTTCAAACAAAAATTTGAAACATTTGTTGTTTAGGACCTATTTTATATTGCTTTTTTGGGGGACTTTATTTGTTGATTGATATTCAGTTGTATCTCAAAACTAATTTGCATGGACTCGAGTTCGTCACCTTTCAAACATTTTTCACTTTCGATACGTTCCCTCTTTTTATGCAATAGAATCTCTTCTCTTATATCCATTCTATGCTAATCTTTCATGGGCTATTCTCTTTTTATACATACTGGACACTCTTGTCAAAAACAAAGAAGCCCGACCCAAAGGCTTTGTTGGCAACCTTGTTATATAATATTTAGAAAAAGATTAAGAACACTTTCGTCTGTCACAAATTTTGTTTTGACTGCAAATAGGCATAAACGCAGATGAAGATTGGCGGAGTCTGAAACAAATGTAGGACGAGACTCATTCCTAAAAATCTGATTTATGAGCATTGTTATCACTTTACAGCGTGAAAACGAAAGTGTTCTTCTTATCAAAAAAAAAAAAAAAAAAATCACCTACGTGTGTTTCCTTGTAACCACAATGAAGAATGTGCTTAAAAAATGGCAGAGGATGATCATAAGGATCTACGGACCATGTCGTACAAAGAAATTGCGATTTCAGCACTGATCAGGATAATGATTAGCCACTCCAGAAAATCTGATTTCCTGTTCTGAAGTATTTCCTGAAGGAAACGAATGTTGTGCTGCAAATTCCACATAAACAAAACAAAAAAAAAAAATGAATCACCAATAAGTTTTTATTTCCTGCAAAATGACAAGATAGAACATAAGAAAGATGGTATAGATGATGGTACCTCTACAAACTTGAGCTTAAAATCAAGGCTTGCAAATCTCTGTGTCAATTCAAATTCATCCCTCAGATACTCCCATATCTGAGCATATTTCGCATCCTTCCAAGCTATATCCGACCTACAATTTTTCCCAAAACACAAGTCAGTCAAATATCTACCCATAATACTATTCAACGTAAGCATCGATTCTTCGATCTCTCCACTTCTTTACCTCTCAAAAAGACCAAGCTTCAGAATCACATCAGCCAGGTTAGAATTAGCCTTTCCAACCAACTGGAACAGCTTCTTCCTATCCATCGTAAACGTTCCGGTTTTCTCCATCCCACGGTTTATGTCAGTAAATTCTGCTACCATACCATCAACCTAACAGAAATAGATTGATCACCGACAGTTCTTAGTATTACTGGTGTCGACTTCATTTTCCACATCCAATAATATAAAAAGAATGTATATGGATCCGACATCGTTACCTGCCGGCCATAGTAATCAAGAGCTATGCTCTGGCCCAGAACACTGCCGATGGTTCTGATGCCATCAATATTCAAGAACTGCAACATGATGTAATCCAGTCCCCCCTGCATCCAGGTGTGCAGAGTTGGATTCTCTCTTACTTCATATTCTGCAGTTTTACAGAACCAAAGATATGAAACTAAGCACCATTGTAGAAGTTCAGATCATCACAGACAAAATGAAGTGCAACCCACCATCTTTTCTCATTTCAGGAAGCAAACCAGAAGCATGCCTCTCCACCACTTTTAGATACTCGTCAACCTCGTGTTCCCGTACATTAAATAACACAATCGATCCATACTGGAATACTACCATGTAAATGCACTCACTCCCACTTATGCAACCACCAGTACCCTGAAACAACATCAACATTTCTTATGATAAGTAGTAAAATCAATCACCCAATCTAAAGATAGATAGCCCCAAAATAGCATTAAGACTGAAAAATTAGACACCAATCCATAGAACAATCAACAATCACTATAAGGGTACCATTTTCCAGCCATTTGTTTGATCAGCCAATATGATGTAAACCCTAGTACCTCAGCTCCATAATCTGAATAAAGTAAGATTCAACTTACAGTGGGATCAGAATGATTGCCGAACTTGAGAACAACGTAGTTAGTCATACGCGACGTGGGTGGGATGAAGTTCTGCTTGTTTTGCTCAACTAAGCTTCTCAAATCAACGCTGCACACAATCACATCCACAAAATAATTCAATCATCACACCATCAAATTTCTAAAACCCATTTGCAAATACATCCAGGTTTAAGCTCCAACGTGATACTAAGGTTTCAATTGTTCAACTATGAAATTCACTCATCATCAATGGCAGGTTAGCTATCATATGCCGAAACCGATCCTGATTCCCACCAGAATGGCATAAACCTTTAAAGAACATTTTGGAAAAGGGGAAAAAACATACCTAGTGGAGAAGAAATAAGCTCGTACAGGAAGAGAGAGCTTGGTTTCCTCCTCTAAGCCACCAGAATTCCCATCACCAACCTCCACATACGGGACCGTTTCACCAGACTCCCCTGGGTGCTGATTCTGATGCTGCTGCGGCTGCGGCTGAATCGAAGCGGCGGGCGACGAAGAAAAAGCCCTCACAGTGAAGAGAGATCCGAAGTTTCGGCTCCCGCGAAAACCGTGAACCGGAGAATTTGAGACAGCTAGGAAATTGGAGAAACAACGAGAGAAAGTATGTGGCGACGACCGCGACGAGAACTGCAATGGAAGCGAAAGCGACGGCGGTTTCTGCTTAGAGGTAAAGATCGAAAAGAGAACAGTACGGACGGAAGGGCCTAGGGTTTTAACGTAGACGTCAACGCTTCGAATCATTTTGATTCACAGAGAAAGACGAAGATTGAAGATGAACAAGACGGCCTCGCTCCCTCTCTGCTTCCCTCGAGTGGAATCACAGAATGACTATATACTTGTTTCAGTTATGATCTAAACGCGTGCCGTTTATTCATCTAATAGACTAACCACGTGCTGTTTAAACGAATATAAACGACAGAGAGCTTATACGAGAAGATTGAAAACGACAGAGAGCTTATACGAGAAGATTGAAAACGACAGAGAGCTTATAAGTACATTATACATATTATAAATATATTTTAGAAATCCTTGGATCTACCGTCTACGTCTTGTTAATCAATATGCATTGAAAGAATATAAGTGATTGCTATCGAGATCCTGTGGTTTCAAAATGTCCTTAATTGTCAACTGATCAACGAGACAAGGACTTAGAAGAGTCCAAACATATAAATTCCAAGAACATAAAGGAACAAAAGTGGTCTTATAGGCCATATAACTCTTGTTATTAGTTATTATTGCTCTTCTCTATCAGTTTTTGGTTTCACGAATCATTAGACCGTCTTCGTCTCCTCCTTTGCCGCTGCCACCGCATGGTGAAGTCTTAGTCTTAAACCTCAATCCAAATATCTTTGAGAAGAAGTTGCGTCCTTCTTTAGTCTTGACAAGCTTGTCAAGATCTTGCTTCATGCTCATACATTCTCTTTCAAGCTCGTAAACACGTTCCCTCATCCCATTCATCATCACATTTGCGTTTGCGTTAATCTTGCTGTGTCCTTCATCTAGTGCCGGATTCTTGCAACTTGGATCGTCATTGTTGTTGTTGTCCGAGACAAAGAACCATCCTGATACAGATGTTCGAAGCCGCATCTGTTCAAAGAACAAGACTTGAACTATGACTCGTAAAGGTAGACGCTCGTTTTGTGCTGCGTGTGTGCATGCCTCCAATGACAGCTTCTGGCAATTCATCAGCAGACACAGTTGCTCTCTCTCTGTCTCTGTCAGCCATGGATGAGCCTGTTTCTCCAAAATCATATACATCCATATAGAGATATTCAAAAGATTCATTTGATACTATTATACGTATTTTAAAAAGGTGAAATTTTGTTTTACCTTGATGTATATATCAATTGCGCGGTAGATACCATCATCCATTGGTCTTACGTCTTCAGGGATTAAAGCACCAAGTGCTTGAAATTTCGATAGTTTCAAGTTCTCATCGGAAGCCACCTCTGCTAAGTAGCCATCTATAAGACTAGCTACCTTTGTGAGGGGTCTAAGAGGATGAGAATCTCCCATCAATTGCTTCTCCTCATCATCAACAATGTTGTAACAGCTCGAAGAAGAATCAAATGTCAACATGAAGTGATCAAGAATCCGCTGGACAGAGTCTATATCATAGAGTGTTTCAGCTGAGTATCCCATGTTTGGTATTAGCAGATCCTCCAGAGCAGCTTCGTCTAGCTGCACGCCGATTCTTCTCTCAAGATTCTCCTGAGTGGCTGCACTTGCGTGCAGAACCATTGATGTCCTGAGAAGCCTGAGCAAGAATTTTGTCGATGTAATGCGTTTTTGGCTCGGTAGTAGTTCCACGATTTCCTCAAGGAGACTTCTTTGATCTTCATGTGAGTAGTGCATGTCATCACCATAAGTAGAACCTTCCTCTGTAGAAGAACCAGATTGCCTAGAACAGCCAAGTAAAGGAAGGTTTCGTTTTGCATAATGCGTGACAGATGCTGCTATTATATCTGCTTTCATGCCTCTGGATTCAACGGTTTGAATGAACCTTTTGTACATTGGGAATTCGAGGAATGTTGACACATCGTTGAACCACCAGTTATCGCTCGTGGCCTTAGTTTGTATTCCGTTCCAGAATGTAGTTGTAGTAGTAGTTTCTTCTGGTACTGAGATTGGCCAATGGAACAAACTCGTGTCTTCAACACAAGCCTTGATGGCTAAAGAAGCAATGCACCTAGAGACAATGTGAAGCTCTTCGGCGAGAGGTAGCAGTTTCTGTTCGCATCTCTCCAAGGCCTTGATGGAATCTTGCCAGTTTGTGAAAACGTGATCGTTGAGGAAATTCTCGGAGAGAGAGATGAGATTTGCATCTCCATAGTTTTCACTCATTTGGAGATACTCTGATGCACATCTGAGACTGACAACGTTTTCAGCTGTGACCTCAATTCTTACACCGTAACAGAACTTGGCCACGAGCAAGAACGTTTCGGGTCCACCGGGAATGTCGTGAAGCTGGGCCACACAAGCTGTCTCAGAGGCTTTGCTGAAAAGAGTTTCGAGATATCCACTTCTTGACAACAACGGAAACTTGATGATGAAAAACACATGGCCAAATTAAAGTGAAAAGTGATGGTAATGAGTGAGAATTCAAAAGAGAAAAGAGAGTCAATACTATTATAGGTTTTGGTTTGGTTTATTATACCTTATGCAGATGGAAGCTTTGGTCTTCTACTTGGATCATCACATCAGGTTTAAGTCCAGTTGAGCAAAGCCTGATAAGATTAGAGAATAAAGAAATGAGAGACATTTGTTTTGGTAAATTGATATTAGTTAAACTCATTGAAGAAGAAGAAGAAGAGGACTGACCATGTGTGACCACTTAGATGAAAGACATCAGATTTAGAACCCAGTTTCAAGCAAGCCATCTTCTCTTGTTTTTTTTTTTTTCACTTCACTCTTCGTTTTTTCCGCAAATCTAAAAGAGTTGCAAAATGACTCCTCATCGAAACCCCATGAACACTTTTGACATAAGAAATTTGGGAAATTTTATTTTAATTTTTTTGTTTGTTTTCCTTTCACGGAGTAAGCCGGTGTGGGTCCGAGTCTTGTGGAGGGATAAGATACAGACGAGTTTTTCCAGTTGTTGCTGTTACAAATTTACACTAAAATTTTGCAACTTTCGTTTTCCCTTTATTTTCTGTAACGCCTCCTTCTCTCTCTCACACTCATTCATTCCTCGCTGTAACTTATTTTTGTTAAAATATCTGGCTCTCTCTTGTTTTGGTAAATTCTTGGATTTTTTTTCTTATTATTCCACAGCAATAAATGCACAAGATATTTTGACTGGTCAACTTAGTTACTCTCTTAAATGCATGTTGGTAAGAAAATATTAGTCAAAACGGTTCATTATCATAAGGCCCATTATAGAGACCCATAGCAAATCCACCCTATTTGGATTTCGTTCCAACCGCCACACTTGTTTAGCGGGAACTACAACCACCAATCGAGCAATACCGGTTCTGAGTAACCAACCACTTTGGTTTTATGATCATGTAACCGGGAATTTGAGCTGTTAATAATTGCTACTACTAAACAAACTACTATAATATTGTCAACAAAATAAAAAATGGGACTACTAATCACATATCATTTGGTTTCCAGTCTTCAAATCGAAGCCAAAGTTACAGTCATACTAGATAAGGTTTTCGATCCATGAGATGAGCCTGAGAGTTGGATCGACAAGATGAGCCTGAGAGTTGGGCCGACGAGGATGAGCGTGAGAGAGCCTTGGTTGAATTAGGTAAGATTCGGTTCACTAATATCGGTTTACACATTAAAATTCAAATGAATTTTGGTTAGATCTATTAAATTTGTGTTGGTTTGGTTATCCAGGATACTGTAACTCACTTTAACCCAATTACTGTAATTAGCTTCATTAACCTATTTGATCCATGAACTCATTAAGACCCAAATTTTCCAACTCAATAGAGTTCATAGATTAGATTAGATTGGGTTGAAACTTCTTTCGACCACTCAGCTATATTACAAAATTTATAAGTCTTTACAAATAGACTTATAAAATTTGTATTTATTTGAAAAAGTTAGGTTATACAAGTAAATACCAAATTTTAATTTTAATAGCGGTCAAACTGTGCTTATCCTTTATTATATAAAGGCAGAGTTTGCAGCCGCAGGGTTGTGTGGCTCTCTCTCTAGTCAAGTTTTGCATCTCTATTTTTCCATTTGCGTAATATTTCCATTTCTTTAGGCTCCTATTAGCTGTACTTTCCTGGAAACTGCTACTCACAGACCTCGCCATCACTCTTCCCTTTTTGGTAGATTCTTCTTTCCCTCCACAAATATTATTGCCTTTCTTCCCTGAATCTGCTATGCTACTTGTGTTTCTATTATTTTCTCAACCCTTTCTCTAAAAATTGCAGTTCTTCCTTTTTCTTTTGTCGGTTGATTGCTAACCTCCAATTCTCTGGTTACTCTCCTCTTACGTATCTCACATCTTCATCGGTCGGAAATTTAAAGGGTCGATCTTGTTTTTTACTCTTTGCTCTTAATGGATTCAATAATCAGTTTTTTTTTTTGGATATTTTGATGAGTTTTTCTCTGCTTCTGTTTTGTAATCTAAAGTTGACTTTTTTTTTTTTGGTTCTCTCTTCCGGTTTGTTGATTGTTCTTCCATTCTAGGGACTTGGTGGTGTCTGGATTCACTGTTAGTTGCGTGAATTGGTGTTTAGATACGTGGTGGGATTTATGTTTCATTGATCTGAAATACTATTTGAATTCTCTTTTTGCCTTTTGGGTCTCTTAATTATAGACGACCTAATTGATATTGATCTGTAGGTGTTAGGTGGAATCAGCCTGAAAAAAGGTAAAAGTTTGAGGAGTTGGATATTTATTTCGAGCTAACGGCTATGTCTGGAAACCAAGAGGTGTTTATTCCAACCCAAATTACTAATCAATTCAACATTTTTAGAAATTCTCTCTCCCATATTGATTTAATGTTTTTTGTTGTTGCTTCCCTGTCTGGTTGATATCTATCAGCCTCGGATCAGCCTGCCTACCTGGCGGTGCAGCAATTTCAGTGCTGCTATTCCAATCAAGAAGAGGAAGTACTTTGTGCAGCCGGCAATGGAAGAACCAGGCTCAAAACGTTTGGGAAATAATCCACAACCTAATGAGCAAGGTGATACTAGTGTTGGTAGGAGTGCTTTGGATTCAGCTGATGCTGATGAAAGTCAGAAAATGATCGGTGGACCTAGGAAAATTATTGGAGGACTAATCCCTTCTTTGTCGTCTGTTAATGCTGGTAAAGCAGAGAGCACTGGGAACAAAGTTCTTGACCATGTTAGAGTGAAAGTTGATGAGCCAAATTTGCCATTTCACTCGAGTCCTTTGGAGGTCCCTTCCATTTCTAACATACTTGGCACTTCACTCCCTTCTTCTCTGGGAAAGCTTCCTGCGGGTGCTGAACATCGTGGTCCACTTGTCACCTCTGGATTGAAAGTAGAACAAGCTCTTCGTAAAACCCGTGACATTGTTAGGGAGACATGTGGCCAGGTAAATCTCAGAGGAGAGTGTCAAACAGAAGCATCTTCTAGTGCAGGTACTGTTTCCATGCGGCTAGGTTGTACAACTAAAACCAATTCTCCATATGGGGAGAATGAAGAGCCTACAGCACTGAATTTGTCGTTCAGCAAGGGAGTTTATGCTCCTCATAGCACAGATTCTGTTTCCATTTGTACCAAATCTGGCCATCACAGTGGTGTGAACAGATCAAATTGGGATTTAAATACTACCATGGATGCTTGGGAAGATGCTCTAGATCGAAAGACTAGAGCTAGCACAACTGGTGCAAATTTAAACAGTACCGCAAGTCTTCATGACATTGAGACATCAAGTTGTCGTGATACAACTGTTATTTCAAAGTCTGTTTCTGAAAAACACAAGGAAAGAGTAGGATTTAAATCTCCTACGGTGACTTTGACGCAGTTTGACCATCAGGTTAATCCCACATGTTCACTTAGTCTAGGCCTTAGTTCATATCCTCCTATTGAAAAATCCCCTTCTCTATCAGCTACCACATCGGAGGCAAGAGCTGCTAGTACAACTTTTTCCAGACCAATAATGGCTGCTGGTAATGTGAACTCGGTAAATCTTAGGACTGTAAAGTCAGAAGTCATTGAAGAGAGTGCTCAGGTTTGTCCAATCGGGCTATCTATTAAAAGGGTGAAACAAGAGGTTGTTGGCAGATTCAGACAAGAAAATAGTTCATCATCTGGCAGTTTGAACCCAGTGGATCCTATATCAATAAAGGCTGAGCCAAGTAACTTCACTCAGTCTGAAGTTTTTACTAGGCAAGATGGGACGATGAATCATCCCCATACAGCAATAGTGCAATCAAATCAGATCCTTGATTTACCTACAAGTTCGACGCCAAATCAGAAGGATAAATATATTCCCTATCCTAGTGGCTTCAGCAATGTGCCAATGTCCTTGGATGAACTGACAAGAAATCCAGGCGTCAAGAGTTATCTTGACAATACGTTAAATGTGAAATCAGGCCAGAGTAGCAGTGCAGCTATTGAAAAACCATGCGAAGCGCTGAAACATGGTGTAGTTCACATGAATTATCCATGCTCTGGTCATGGAGATCATAATCTCGATGCATCAGGTGTGAATGTTTCTTTGGCTGAAGAGATAATTTTAGATGATTGCAAGACCCATATATCGAAAGAACTCCCTGGTAATTCTCGTGGAACTGGTGAACATTCTATAAGTAATGAAGAAAAGGTTATTTTATCTGGTAAGCAGCTAGGGGAAGAGTTATACAATTACAGGTACGAATCAGGTTGTGGTTATGATCCATCTAGAGTACTAAAGAAGCAAGTTGGAAAAAGAAATTTGTACAATGACGGGAATGTCCTAAGACCAGCTGCCGGTATTGTTCATAGTGGCTTTCAAAATTCTAACCATGTGGAAAACTATGTGGAAGAAAAAGAGAGTCAACCTGCACTTCTTGGTAACACAGGTAAGAAACATGTTAAAGAATGCTCTGCTCATCATCTACTAATAAATTTAAGAAATAAACTGTTGATGAGTGATGTTTGAAATTAGGCGAAATGGCAAGCACTGAGGTTCAGATTAAGAGGCTTACTCCAGAAATTCCGAGGGAAAGTGAAGGCCAGATAGTTCAGGATGGTGAACAATCAACCCATCAAATAATTCATGCAAGTGAAGGAGTGTCAGGTGTGTCTACAGTGTTAGGCGGGAACGTTGAAAACCCTGAAATAGTATATAACAGCAGTCCAGTTTCATACAAGGCAGAAATTTCTACTATTGACAATGATCCTCTTGAGGAGTTCAGTGAAGGTAGTCAAAGTCGAGTTATAAACCAAGCTCAGGCTTGTAATAAATCTCCAATTAAGACACCAGATGCCTCAGACAGTTTTGTGCCATTGCGTATGGAAAGAGATAGATTGCCTGATTTCCCACATGAACCACGGAAATATCTCTTCAGAGGGAGGTGATATTTCTTAGCCCTCCTTTTTTACTATCTCTATCCTTTCCTTGCTTCATTCCTTTTTGAGATCTTTATGGATTTCCTTGAAATTTTCCATTAATGTTTCTTTTGCTAGTGACGAATCCTGCAAATTCTCGCGTGAGAGGTACCATGGCAAAATTATGAGAAGCTCAAGGCTAAATTTCATGCCTGACAAAAGGAGATTTTCTGATAGAACAGAAAGCAATCTGCATGACCGGGATACAAAAAGTAAATTCCTATCAAATTTTTCGATGGAAGAATGTAGCTCATTGTTTCTAAAATTCAATATGACCCTCATCTTATGAATGCAGATTTTGAGTTCGACAATCATGGAAACACTCGTCGGGGTGGGGCTTTTATGAGTAATTTTCATAGAGGGAGACGGCCTGCAAATGATGAAGTAGCCCCTTTTTCCCACTCCTTTACGAGAAGAGCCCCTAGCTTTTCATTTACTCAAAGAGGATCAACAAATAAAGAGGATCCATCTGCTGCATTTCACGGATTTAGAGATGGTGAAAAATTCACGAGGGGATTACAATCCAACAACACGGAGCCAACGTTTATGAGTCAGCAACGTCCGTATCAAGGTCGGAATGGATTTGCTCGAGGACGAGCAAATTTTTCAAACAACCCCAAACGAGGTTTTCCTGGATTTCGTTCTCGATCACCGATCAGATCAAGAGAACGATCATCTGGTCCATCCTCGTCTTTCAGGAACAGATCAGAGGAAGAGTACAGTGGGAATACAGACTTTTCTCATCGGAGATCACCCTCAGGTTACAGAATGGGGAGGATAAGCTCGCCTGACCAATCTAGTTATCCTAGGGAAATGGGTGTCAGGAGGCACAATTCTCCACCTTACTCGCATAGACCATCAAATGCTGGAAGGGGCCGGGGTTATGCAAGGGGCAGAGGTTATGCAAGAGGCAGAGGTTATGGAAGAGATAGCTTCTCTTTTAGGAAACCATCTGACCGTCTTGTACATAGAAACCATGGAAACTTAAACAGCTTGGATCCTCGAGAAAGGGTCGACTACAGTGATGACTTATTTGAAGGACGAATTCATTCTGAACGATTTGGTGTTGATGTTAATGCTGAGAGGAGACAGTTTGGTTATAGACATGATGGTACCAGCTCTTTTAGACCATCTTTTGACAATGATGGTTGTGCACCTACTAATGTAGAGAATGGCCCTGATGCTGTGAGATTTGGACAGGACCCTGATATTGAATTAGTAGAAATGGAAATTGATGGAAAAAATAACTCAACTGAGAATGCATCTGGAAGTACTAAGAATATGGAAGAGGAGGAAACTTCGAAGCTCAGTGAAATATGGCAACGAGAAGAGCTTGGCGGTGACGGGGTGTAGAGAAAGGTTAGTAATACATAATATGCGTGAACCTTCTAAGACAGGAAGCTCATTAAAATACCGGCTACAGGCCAGACTTTTCGCCCGATACAACTATTTAGACTGGAGAAAGGTTTGATGAATGAGTCTCTTTGCTCTACTCGAAATTGGGCCTGCCTAACAACCCCCACTGTATGGTTGAGCCATGACTGTTTTTGGCTTAGAACATTCACTTTCATCTGCGAATAACCAGTTGATGAATTCTTCCAACATGATGTCATCAATTTAGCTTTAGGTACGCCCAAGATGGAACGAGTACACATTTTTGTGGAACTTGAAGTATTAGCTACACCAAGCTTGCTTGAAATGTTGAAACAGCCGCTGATTATCTGTTGGTAGAACTGGGTATACCGGCCATGGCAAAAAACAGTGGAAACAGCCAAAGTTGCACCAACCAGTTGGACCTATTGGTTTGGTTAATGGCTCCTTCTCCTTTATCATATTGCAAGTGAGTTCCAACTTCGAAGGTACATCTCACCGTAGGGAAAGGAATATAACTGTTTTGATGTAGTAGCTTCTCCAGTGTAGGCATGGTATACAAATCTGACCAATAAATCTTATGTCTGTGTTTATCAAACCAAAGATGCCAAATATTCTGTACACATCTCATCCACAAGATAAAAGGTTCTCCAAGTTTTTGATGTGTTATTCAGTCTTTACTCTTTTAGGTCAAATACTCAAATCTGAGAAACAGGGACGCAAGGAAAAAAAAGTATGCGATTGGCAGCTAGAATACTCTCATGGTTACTTTGCAAATAACTTTTCGTGTCTTACCCATCAATTAGTTTCCCTTTAAACAAAACATCAAAGTATGCTACTGTTCATAATTCCTCAATACATAATTTAAGTAATTATCAAGTAGTTGACCTTCAGTTCAACAATTTGTCCAGCAAAATAATTAAAGATATACAACAAAGAATCAAAATGAAAAAAATACAGGATACAAAGAAAAGTAGTCCAAAGTTTGAAATCAGTCCACCACCTTGAGATCAAACTGAGTTTTATTTTTACCTCCTCTTGTTCTTGCTGCCCAAAAGCAAAGAAAAGTAGAACAAGATTCGAAAGAAGAAACCCCAAGCGACAGTGACCCACAAGCAATTCCATTTGCTGAGATCCGTAACTCCTTGCTGCTGCAAAATGTCGTATCCTGTTGTCAAGCAAGTGGAGCTTGTGATTCTCATCCCAAGTGATTTGCTCATGGTTGCCAGAAGCCTAACTTTCATCCCCTGAGGCACGGCAACAAGAGGTGTGTTGTCGAATATCTGAACTCCTCTGACGAAACACTTTGTCGGGTCGCTGAACTCGTTTATGAGAACAGCTTCGTAAGGGTACTTGACCAAGGAGATGTAATGAAACCAGATCCAGTAGGAAGGGATTCGATCTCGGTTGATGAAGAATCCACTGAAAAGCAAGAAATAGGCTAAGATGGCTACCACAATGGTGTAACCGAGCATTACATGTGGGACAACGCCTGATAAGAAGGTGACGAATGAGCTTCCTGCCCAGAAAGCGGCTAAGACTATTAGGAAGTAGAAGAGGAAGCCCATGAGGCCTCCATCTAATCCCACGCCCCAGAACGTAGTTGCTGCGAAAGCAAGCGAGAGGATGATCAAGGAAGGAAGTGCAACGAGAGAGTGAGATAGCACATAGGAGGATCTACGGTAAGCGTTGTAAGCGGTTTCTCTCATGAATATGAATCGTTCTTGGAGGAAAACGGGTAGAGCGTCTGCGCAGGTGTAGAACGTTGTGGACATTGCAAAGGCGAAGAATCCGAGACGTTCTTGAACTCCTTTGGGGGAGTTATCTAGCTGCCAAAACATGGTGGCTAAGATGAATCCAGTGACTAAAACAGCTCCTAGACGTATCCCGAACAATTCAGGCTGTCTCCGATAATTAGTCATGGACCGTTTGGCTAGAACCGCAAGCTCGACCCAAAACGGGTTTGCGAATGTTGGAATGGTGGAAACAGGGTTCGAGCCAGAGCCAGGAGTAGTAGTAGTCGTTGCTCCGGAGACAAGCTTTCCTTTGGAAATGCTTGCGCTGATTGCTTCTTTAAGGGACAAGCCGGTTTGAGTTCTTGGCTCTGCTTTCCTCTGTCTAAAACCTTTGTTGAACTCAACTAAACTTCTCGTTCCACCAGCGGATCCTTCTAGCTCTCGAATCAAATCTAACGCAAACTCGGTGCGATTCTCGTGTTCGGGAATCGGGTGGCCAAACTCGGCGAAGAAGCTCGGTAGCATCGCGGGTGATCCGCTGAAGACGGTTTGGCCACGTGACAAGAAGAGAAGACGGTCGAGCAATCGGAGAAGACGGTAACTTGGTTGGTGAAGAGTCATAATCACCATGCTTCCGCTCTGTGCGATTCGTTTGAGAACTTTAATGACACTGAGTGCGCTTGTCGAGTCAAGACCCGATGTTGGTTCGTCGAGGAAAAGCAGAATCGGGTCGTGGATGATATCGATTCCGATTGATACTCGCCGTCGCTCTCCTCCGGAGATTCCGCGGTGGCCTTCGTCTCCGATTATCGTTTTGGCCGCGTTTCTAAGTCCTAATTGGTCAATCAAGGCTTGGACGCGGAGATTCTTCTTTGATTTCGAAAGGCTTCGCGGGAGACGAAACTCGGCGGCGAACATTAGGGTTTCTTCGACTGTGAGCATCGGGAAGAGAAGATCGTCCTGCATCACATAAGCTGAGATCGCTTTTTGCATTTTCGAATTGAGGACTTCGCCGTTTAGTGTTACGTTTCCTTTCAAGCTTCCTTTGGCGATTCGATTGGCTAGTGCATCGATCAGCGTCGATTTCCCGGAGCCACTCGCACCGAGCACAGCCAGTATCTCTCCGTCTCTAGCCTCGCCGGAGATTCCGTTGAGGAGCGTCTTCGTCTTGGAAGAGAAGAGTCCGTCCGACGGAGCTCCGACGATGGGATCTGAAGGGACGCGTCTCCACGCGAACTTCCGGCGAACTTTCACGCTGTAGGTGAGATCAGTGAACGAGAGAACGAACGGTACGGATCGGTCCGGCGAGGCAAGATCCACATCAACGTGATGCTGATGGTGGCCACCGGTTAGAACGGTCGTCGTGTCGCCGACATTCTTCAAGAGCTGTGCGAAAGTTGGAGAAGACGTGCCTGAGTAGCTGGAGAGATGGTTAGGCTCCGGCGAGAAGAACGGCAGCGACATATTGTCGTCTGCTGCAACCACGCGGGACATGCTTTGGGTTTGTGTGATGAAGCGGGAAAATCAATAAACGGAAAGAACTAACGGCGTCAAAACTGATACCGTTGGCAGGAGGAGGAGAAAGAGGAAAGAAACGTTTGTGTGTATGGGTTTTACCAACGATTTAATTTCTATTTCTATTTATAGATAAAAAAATGTATCAAGAGAATGTGGTTGGGCCGTTTAATATGCTTTGGTATTATTTAAGATTAGTTTGATGAATACTTTTTCTTAAGAAGAGATTAGAAGAAGAAAAGTCTCAAAGTCACAATGGTGACGCTGGTGTAGATGAACCCCCCAAACCTAAACTCAACAAGTTAAATTGTATAACACAATTTGCCACATGTCCGATTCTGTTCCTTTAAGATGTTTTCGTGTAGCATTCAACTATATTTTTTAGCCAACCCTTGCCGAATTTAGGTCACCATTCCTTCACCCACCCTTAAACCAAAAACTTTAAGTTACTATGTGAAGAGATGAAACAATTTCAGAAATATCCTTTACAATCATTAGGATATTTATATAGTTTAACAATCTTTAACTTAATTAGGTAAATACTAATTGATTTTTTTTTGGTAGACAAATTCATTTTAAATGGAACCATCATGTACAACAATCTTTTATTTCTAAAAGAAACGAGAGGCATAAACCAAATAGCGAACAAATCAAAAAGGTACGAGCGTATTAACATATCCAACGGTTTTGCTATACACAAACCCACCAGTGCTATTGCATTATAGCTCCCCACCCATAATACATGACTGACTAGTTAAGCTGAGAAAACTAAATTTCACAGGGACTGAAAGATTGCTGACGTGTTGAACTTGAAGCCTCTTAGACTGTTTACAGGTTTTGAGTCCTGAGGATGGTCGGGTTCATGCTTTTTTTTGGAGCTTTCTGTTGTTGCTGTTGTTGTTGCTATTGGTGTTGCTGCTGGTGCTGTCCAGTTTCCTCCACCACTAGCCCTTGCATTCCACACGCAGAGTGCTATACAAATCATATGAATTAGATCTCTGCCAAAAAGCCCTCTTTTTTATGAATGCTTGCTGAGATAGAAGATGTCAAACCTTTAAGGGGCTTGTCAGGTCTCCGTGCTACAGGCGCCGGATGCTTTGATATCCACGACTTCAATGATCTGCAGATGTTTGATATCTATAATGCTATGCACCAAAAATAAAAATTTACCCAAGAATCTATGTGGGCAAATAGAAAGGCACTACTCACGCAAGAAAAGGTGCCACCATATACAACTTGAGACCAGCAACTCCATGAGTTATCACCTCATTACTTGCTGGCTGAAGATGATCAAGCCGATGCCATGCAATTTCCTGCAAGTATTCCACAACAACTTAACGTAAGAGACTCATCATACATATGCAGACAAGACCACACCCACAAGGTTGATTGTTAAACACATACACTGATTTCCTTCTTTGTTTGTGGTGCAAAAGCTGTATCATCAGTCACCCCAGCAACTATGTAAAGTCGCACTCTTTGCTGCCTGAATGTAAACTCAATATATTCTTCTTTCTTGAGTAGCTTTGAGATATCAAATCCAGTTTCCTCTAAGACCTATGTTTAGCATAAAAGAACAGTACAGAAGAATGAAAACCAAAAAATGTCAGTACATAATACGGCCAACCAAGTGTGACAAAACATTCAGCTTTTTTATCCTTAACCCATAATCCAAGTTTATACAAACAATCAGCAAGACAATTACACCTAAACTGCTGCAAGTAGAATAGCAGTGAGAGCTACACGTAAACCTCTTCGGCTTTGACCATTTCTATACGAATGAAATAGTACAAAAGGACCAGAGAACCTTTATAGTAGACCATTGACAGCAGAAGCTATTCCCATTTGCAAAAGATCCTGTATAATGGTGACCTAAGAACAACATTTCCTTGCTCAAATTTGAGTACGTAAGGAGCATGTGCCATAATCAAATTGATAAATTCGTATGAAAACTGCCCTGTAGTCCAGAGCAGAATATATAAGAGAAGTTCTCTATTCTACTCTTTCATGCGCACATAAATGTTGACACATCGACAACTGTCAACAGCCAATAAAGTAGAACCAACACACTACTTGAGGTTTATATGTGACAGCCTAACTCATAAGATACAACGACGACAGAATGGATCTAATCTTACCCAATAAGCGCTATTATTCTAATAACGTAGTATTCATTTTTAGTATGCACTTATGATAAATGAGTGGCTATTGTTGGAGCTATCAAATGTGCCACAAAAGAACAAAACAAATGAACCACACAAGAGACAGGAAAACAATAAGATCGATACTAACCTCACGTATAGCACAAGCATAGTCTTCTTCATCCTTACTCTTCTTCCCTCGGGGAAAGCTCCAACTTGACCCTTTCCATCCCTTCACCAACAAACACTAAAAATTCCAAGAAAAACGAAAAAGGTGTAAACATGAACTAACAAGTAAACATAAATGCTAGTAATTAAAAAAAAAAAAACTGAAACTCGTAAATATCACCCAAGGGGTCTAACCCGTTCATATGTTTCATCCAGGATGATTGCCCCAGTGACCGGAACTCGACACTTGTAAGAAGTGAAGTCTTTAAAAATGTCATCAATGTTAGCAACATAAGGTCTCAACACATCACAGCTGTTAAATACTTAGCTCACGTCAAGGGAAAAAAAAAATCCACAGAGAAAAATGGGAAAGGTTAACAAACAACTGAAGAGAAAAAGAAGCCAGTTTGAACACAAATCAGCTTATTTCGACATCATGCTCCAAACATATGAATTACATAATGAGAAAGGATACAGAGAGAAGTAAACTCCTTCAAGGAAAGCGACTTAAGCGTTGGATCATTTTCTACAGCATTATCTTCATAGTACCAATAAGCATACTCCACCAGAAACAAAATTCTCTCGAATGACTGTTGATCTTCTTCAGGGACATTCAAAACAAATCGACTGAAACCAAAGCCATTCCGGAAACCCCATCACCAAAAATCAGTTACCGACGTAATCAAATTCGAGCTCATCGCTTCACTTATTACGGGAAAAACAAAAAAAAAAATCACTCGATTGACAAAAATACCTGCAAAGATCGTCAAGAAGTTCCTTCGAGGGGAGGCAGTTTCCTATATTCTTTGATGAACTAGATGATCGGTGGAGACCCGACATTTTTTCACCTCTCTTGTGTAGTAGTGGTTATTCTCTCCTGGTTAAAACCCTAATACTAGATGAGAAAAGGAGCACTCTCTCTCTATCTATCTATCTATCTACTGCCTATAATATACCTGACGCTCTAAGCTTTTTGTTAATTCTATTGAAAGAGAAGGCTACTAAGCCTTCGTCGTCGTCGTCGTCGTCGGTGAAATCTGATCGCCCCGGAGAAATGGAGAATCTGAGGGTATTTTGTGTGTAAATGTGGGGCCCTTTTCGGCTTCTGATTTGGCCTTATCGCTCTAATGGAGATCCGATCCGAGATCCGATCCAAGTTTCTACCGGATGCATTTTTGGATATCCTAACCCAATTTTCAGAGAGAAAAGTAAAAAAATAATATTTTTAGTCGATCGTTCACCGAGTAAAACACATTGACCGTGCCCGAGTTCTTTTCATTTTCGGTAATTAGTCTCTCTGAAATCGGTTTTTTCTTCCCGAGGAGATTTCTTCCGTAGTGGAGACCAGAAAGATCGACGAGAATATGTCGTGGCTGCGAACGGCCGTGAGTAAGGCGGTGGAGGTCGGTAACCGGAAAAATATCACACGAACCGTCAGGAACTATGCCGACTCCGTCGTCCAGCAGGCTGGCCAAGCCGTCGCTGAAGGAGCCAAATTGTTCCAAGACCGCATTGTAATTTCTCCTTTGCTTCTAATTATTCCCCTTTTTAATTGGTATTTAGGTCTTCTTTTGTCTAGATTCTAGTTTTGATTCCTGCTGCTATAAGAATTTACTTTGAGTCCTACTGTGACATTTCAGCATTTTTTGCACCATAAAATGTTCGTTTCTTTCAAAGCCAATATATCTTACTCACTTGAGCAGTTGGAATAATGACATTACAGTTGCATTACTTCAAGACTTGCATGAATAATGCGGGCTGCAACTTTGCAGGGTGTTGGTGCTTATAAGAGTGTTAGTCAGACGATTCAGAGATTGGAAGAAGCTGCAGTCTCATACAGGGGTCATGAAAGAGCACTGCTGCTTACCAGATGGCTATCTGTGCTTAAGGAGATCGATAGAGCTAGTGGAAGTCCCGTCAAGGATAAACAAATGAGTTCAGAGGAACTACTTGCTTCTGATGAAGCAAAGAAACGTGAATGGGTATTGTTTCTGTTCCCCATTTTTTCATATAAGAGGAAAGGAAGAAGTCAACACTTCTACTGCATATCGTTAAATATCAAGGATACTACTTGGGTTAAGAATCTTATATGTTCCTGAATTGTTTTTTTCAAAGAGGAAGAGAAATAAGCCTATGAAGATGCCATCATATCATCCTGCCATCGTGCATTTTACAATATCTAGAATATTACTTAGTAGTTATCATTGTTATCCTTATTAATTTAGGCTAAATATTTCTGTTACATGGTTTGATTAACAGTGACTTTCTTAGTAATATCCTGCTTCTAGTTTCATATGCGGATTTATGACCTTTCCAAGAGAAAACTTTCAGAATATCCCTTTCCATGTGTAGGTTTTGTATTACGATCCAGATATAGGAGGTGCGCCACTAAACTTTCGTGATGTTTTTCTGCAAAGTCAAGCTCTGGAGGGCATCGTTCTGTCCATGGTATTCCTTCGCAACCTAAACTTGATGGCTATCTGATGAGTGATACAAACAGTCCCCTTTTCTCTAAAGTCTATGTTTGGAAAGTTTGACATGCATCATCTTTGATTAATTCCTTAGTGTTAATTCGAGATAACTGAAATGTAAAGATAATATTAGCTTCGCTGAAAAAGTAAAGAACAAACCTAACTAAGTAGACTCTTATATGTTGTGAGAGCCTGTCATTTATCGTTTTCTCGGAATGTTTTGCTATACCTATGTTTTTGGTCTATATAAAATATGGTAACATCTATGGGGGTTATCTCTAAGTTTGACTGTTCTATTACAGATTATTGAACCACCGCATGACGAAGAAATTACTCTACTCCTGGAGATGTTTGGGTGAGTTGCCTTGCCAATATTTGGCTTCCAAAAAGAGTCTTAAAAAAAATTTCTTGGAAAAACCTGACACAATTCATTGCTATATTCATACCAAATGGGACTATTTGTAGAGCTTAATATTGTTTTCAGGCTTTGTCTGAATGGAGGAAAGGAAGTTCATGATGCCATAGTCAGCAGTATGCAGGATCTTGCTACAGTCTTTTCGAGTTACAAGGATGAAGTATTGGTATGCGCTTGAGCAAAAAAAAATCAGCGGTTATCTTAATGTATGTGCGTTGGGATTTCCTCATTACTTGTTTACACTTCTATGTTGCTTTTGTTTCTCTTGTACAGGTTAAGCAGGACGAATTGCTTCAGTTTGCGCAAAATGCTATCACAGGGTTGAAGATTAGTGCTGAAATGCTGAGGTGATAAATGAAGATATTATTGTGCCTTTTGCCTCGTTCTCTTCATGATGACTTAGTCATAGAGCATTGCTTATCTTGAATCACTGTTGATTGAGTTTGTCTTTTCAGAATTGATGCTGAAGCTTCTGATCTTAGAAAAAAACTCGAAAAGATGAACGCATCTCAATTTCCACAGGAGAGTGAGGAAAAGGAACTTAAAGAGACTCCTCTAACAATAGAGGTGACGTGCAGTATCTCCAAAATCATATTTTCCCTTCCTAAGCTCATTTAGGTAGCTCCATGTGAGAGACTTCTCATTTTGCAGGCTCTCAAAGAAACACTTGCAAAGATTCGTCTTTGTTCCAGATTAGAAGAGCTGCTGATCAGAAAGAGACAACTAAGCAACGGGGATTCACCAGATATACATGCTCAGAAAGTTAGTTTGTGAACTTTATTATTCTCAATCATAATCACCATACAAGGTGATTTGTATTGTTGATACCATCTTGTTGTACTTGCTAGTGCTGATACGGAGAATTAAGAGTTTCCTGTATTCCATGACACCATATACGTTTCGAGACTTCCATAGGGAGAATGTTACTGATAGAAGATAACGGATCATTTGTTTTTGAACCAGGTCGACAAGCTCAAGGTGTTATTGGAATCTTTAGCAAATTCAAGTTCCAAAGCCGAGAAACGAATAACCGAGAACAGGTTAAGCTTATCATCAACTCCACTTAGTTATATCTGCAGTGAAGACGTTTTTTGTTCAATTTTGGTATGACATGGTAAATTCCCAAGATCAGATTGATAGTAAGATTTGTACACTTCTGTATCATGTTCAGCAAATACTGCTGAGACTATGCGCAGTTCATTCCTTGCTATTTTATGCACAACCTTAAAACGTTTTCCTTCTATATGCGTATCAAATTTGAACGATGGGACCATCAAGTCAACTTTAATTTTCATCAAAGCCTGTCTTGCTGTTTTTAGATGCATCTTAGTCCTATTGAGCGGATGATTAGTCAGTTGAAGGAAAAAGACTATCAATGGATACTAATTGTCCAATTTTCTTTTTGCAGACTTCAGAAAGAAGAAGCACTAAAAGCTCGTGTGGTGAAAGCAAATGAAACCGGTGAAAAAGAAAAGGTCTTTTTATTCCCTTTTTATTTGTTCTTTTGGTTTATTCAACGCCAAAAAAAAAAAAACACACTAATAACGGCAGCATTCTTCGCCTGGTTCATCAGCTGCCAGTATTGAGGTTCTTTCCTAATATTTATTATGTACAGGAATTGGGTGCGGAAATTGCACAACTTGAGAAACAAAGAGATGAGCTGGAAGCGGAGCTGAAGAGGGTAATTTAACCTGCGTTATCTATATATGGTTTCCTGCTTTATCCTGGTGCTTTATATACACACACTTAAACAGATGAAATTTTGTCGCATATACAAACGTACGCTTGCCAAAAAAAAAAAAAAAATACAAACGTAAGCTTGTCATGTTGTTGTGAAGTAAATTTGATTGATTCTGTGAAGCACTTTTTTTTTTTTTGGCTTCTCCGTGTGATTATTGTGATATGGAAGGTGTTGTCAATAAACATTCTTCCATGTAGGTTAATATATCACTAGCTGCTGCTCAAGCTCGGCTTCATAATGCGACGGAGGAGAGGGATCAATTTGGTGAAGCTAACAATCAGATAATCGCTCACCTGAAAACAAAGGTGGCGTTATCTTTAGACGAGGAGCTCTCATGTCTTTAGTATCCACGTGAAATAAGTTGCTTTTGTTGCTTCTTAATGCAGGAGGATGACCTGTCCAAATCAGTTGTAGCCTGTAAGAAAGAGGCAGAAGTTATCAAGACATGGGTTAATTTTCTTGAGGACACATGGCTTCTTCAAAGCTCATATACAGAAACGAAGGATAAGCAGACTTTGTATATCTAACAACTCCGCTGTTTCTCGCCATATATATTTTGCTTTGTTGTACAACGAAAATGAATAATCCAGTGGGATGTATGTCTTAGGGACGAATTGGAGAAGCATGAGGATTACTTCTCGGATGTCGCTTTTAGTATACTCTCTACTTACAAGGTAACATTTGTATTTTACGGAAGTTTTAAACTAATAATTGATAAATGACAGAGCTAACACAAAAAATCATACTGTACAGAAGGAGGTGGCACCTTTAATAAGTCGTATAGAAAATTATGTGGAAAATCTGAAGAATCTGGGCCCTGGGTAAATGCCTCTCTATGAATTAGATTGCTACTAAGATTGCTTGGTTTCTTGCTAATTCCTCTAGTTGGAGTTGAATTGCTCCTAGTAATAGTGGTGACAGTTTTCGTATGTGGTGGTGACAGGTCGGAGAAGCCACCAAATGCAGATCAGGGGGACATTCAGGTTTCAAACCCGAGGAAAAGTCTGGAGCAGGAGTATCTAGATTATGAGACTAAGGTAAGAATCACTGCTTAGTAGGTCACGATTGATTTTTCCATTGAGACCCAATTAATGGCAACCAAATATACATTGGTTCTTCCTTTTTTTTTTTTTATCTTTCTCTTTTCCGGTTGCTCTTCCTCGTCACTGATCTGGTTTTATTTTATGAGAAAAAAAGATCATTACCACCTTCAGCATTGTGGATAACATGAAAGAGCATTTCCAGGTTCTCCAGAACAAACTGGAAAAGTGAGTGAAATTATTACTCTCCGACCTGTTATTATTCGGTAGTGTTTTACTATACAACTAAGTTCTGAACTCGTACAATTATACCAGAAAGGACGACCGGCGCGTGAAAGAGCTGTTTGATGACATGGAGAAAATGAGGCAGGAATTTGAATCCATAGCGA